TGGAGATCGATCACGACAAACCAGTCTCCCTGCAAAAGTAGAGTAATGATAGTGTCTGAAGTCAACATTCTGAACTGTCAAGGTTGAATAAATTTGTTGAGATGTCTGAGATCGAGGATGGGATGGAGTTTTCTGGGGTTTTGGGGGAACTGTAAAGTATCTTGAATAAAAACCGTTATGCAGATCAGATGAAGGGACTAAAGAAGCAGAGAGACTTCTTGAAGAACTGTAGAGTATGGGGTATTTTTAACTCTTCCATAAAGTAATCATATTAGATGATAAAGAGGACCTACTGGTCATTAGTTACAGCTTGCCATGTAAAAAGAAATGGGTTTAGTCTAGTCTGGAATCAAGGTTTAAAATGGTAGAGTAGTAATTGGAGCTTATGTGTATTGCTTACCCTTTTTCTGAGGCCGACGAAAGGGCTGGCGGCATTGTTGTTGTTGTGATTCTGAAAAGAGGATGATACTGGAGGTGAAGAGCCTTGAAATGTCTTGTCTGATTATTGTGGTTTATACTGTCATTAAGGTTGGAATCGTTGATATGACTGATGTTGAAAAGACTGTTGTCGGTACTGAGTACTTGAATGATTGCTGAGCAGAGTAAGATCGTGCCGTTTTTTGTATCTTGTGAAGATTTTCCATGACTTTGTCAGTTTTCTGATTAAACAGTCCGGTTCTGTCAAATGGGAGATCTATTCTTGATTTGGCATCATCAGAGAGGCCAGTGGACCTGAGCCATGCATGGCGTCGTAGTGCAATGGAGATGACTAAGGATTTTGATGCCGCATCCACAATTCTTTGCTGCTTAGCCAATGTAGTGGCCTCTGTTAATGGCCTCTGATTTGATGGACTCAGGAGCTGATTCCAGTATAGGGAGTATCTTATTCCACAACTGTCGTTGATAAACTCCCATTGCCACTTGATAATTTGTGACTCTCAGCATGAATGACATGGGAGAGTAAATTCATCTGACTTGTATGTCAAGCTTTCAACCTTCCCTGTTGGTGGGAACAACGGAAGATTTGTTTTGACCTCTGGACTGATTGGATTCTACTATTATAGAGTTGGGTGTAGGGTGTTTTGTGAGAAAACCAGTGTCATGCCCATGTGTTTTGTAATGATTCTCCATCCATCTTGAGATTTGTAATGAAGATGGAGGCTTATCCCAAGATTCCTTAATCAGTTCCAGCATGGCTGAGATGAATGTGAGACTGAGTGGAGGCATTTATTCTTGACTGATATCAAAAATCAAGTCAGTTTTGGATGGTGGCAGTTCTTCAATGTCTAATTGAAGGGATTTGGCTATTCTCAAAATCAATTGAGAGTAGGAGGTAAAGTCTTCAGATGGGGATGGAGGGTGGTTTTCATTAACATCGGAGGTGGGTGTTGGAAGATTAGATGGTGATTTTTGAGAGGAGTCCTATTCTAATTCTTGGATAGATTATGATGATGAAGATGGTGATATATCTCTGTGTCTCGGTACCGATGATTGTGGAGGTGGAGGTTGATGGAGCCAAAGTTCGAGGGCCTGCTTCGTTAATCTCTTGCACACCACCCAGGCAAAACAGACAGTGGTCGTGTCCGTCTGTTAAAGGTGTTTGTTTGAACAAACGACGCACCGCTTAAACAGGCCTGGTGAGGCCATAAAGAGTGGGGAAAAAGAAAGGGAAAATGGCTAGAGAAAAAGGGGGGAAGGGAAGCAATAACACGGCTAGATAAAAAAGAATGAACTTACAGGGGAACATCAATTGAATGAATGGAAACAAATGGGGAAAATTTGAAATATGGATGATCTAGATTCTAGAATTTCAATGACAATTGCTCTATCACTCTATTCTTCTGAAGGACGTCTAAACGACACAGCGGAAAAAAGGAACTGAGGGGATATAGGATGGGCAGAGCATGCACTCCACAGGGGAATGTCCCACTAATTATGTGTCTTAAAGCTCTAAAAACTTCTGAGACATTCAGTGCAGGCACAGAACAACCCAATTGTGTGCATTCTGAGGCCACGAAGAACAGATTATTTTTCTTGAGGGAGAGATCAGGGACACAGGCAATTCAGAAGGCAACACACTAATGAGGAGAGGTTGAAATAACTATATCCCCACCCATTTTTTGACTGAAACACAGGTGGGGGTGGATTGTTTAACAGATTGCACAGTTGTTGAAATCTGTGCTTATTTTACTCAGTAAAGCTGAAGTTGCAAAAGGATTCTGGAGCCTGACTCTTATGTCTGGCCTGGCAGACTCTTTTGGGACCTCTTCCCCATAAAGGATCTGGGGGTGACACACAAAACTAAACTAGGAATTTAGCAGAAGAACTTCATTTACAGCAAATTTGGACAAAAACAGAACAGTACCCAACAATGCACTGTTTGTTGAAAAAGTTGTATTTGCATGTCTATTCGAAGAGCATATTAATGCTTCTCACCTGCCAATGTATCCCAAAGACTCAAAGCTCAAATACCCTGTTCTTTTCTACCTGTTTAGACATCCTACAGTAAAAAAACCTTTTAGCAGAATCTGGACCATTAAGAGATTCATGCAGGAAGTGGTGCTCTCTGAGATTACTGTCCTCCATCATTTGTTTTTATTTCAATACCTCCAGATAAACCAGAGATTACCAGGAAAAAAATGTCTTCCTGTCACACAGGAACTTTTCCACCTTCAGAAGCTGCAGATTAGATGATTTTGTTTCGTGATTGCTCACTGGAACTTGGGACTGGATTTTTTTGGTCTGATTTCTCAAATACCAAAACCACCTCAGGCACAGGTTTTCCAGCAGTAATACACTTTCAGCCCTAACTACAGGCTATTAATAATCTCTTTCTGCTTTCAGAGCCAATTTACACATTATGCAGCATCAAACCAGGACTTGCCTTGAAGTATATACTCAACTACAATCTATCCTGGTTCTCAAACTAATATTTAGTAGGGAACTACTACTTACCTTTATTGATTCTTGCTGCTGGTGATCTTGCTGAGGAAGTCTGACAGCTATCAGGAAAATGTTCACTTTCTAATTTTCTATGCTTGCTCAACTTTTGATTTCCAAATCCCTTTGGTCCTAAGTAGAAGACTTCAAATTTTTGCTGAATATCTAGTCCAACTGTTGCAAAGGGGGATGGAAGGTGTTAATTTAATTAACATTCAAATTAAGAATAAAAGAAGGTTTAGGATGAAAAAGAGCTGTGGCCCACAAATGCGGAGATACTTCCTAACTGAGAGGGTACCCAACTGAGAAATATGTCTAGCTGTCATTATGGCTGCTAAGACGACCACTTCAAGAGATAAGAGCCTTAGGGAAACAAACTGCAAATATTCAAAAGAGTATCTTTGTTGGGGCTTTGAGAACAGTATGCTGGACCTGAGATATGCTGGCTGCCTCTCTCTCTTTTTTTAATGTTCTAATCTTTTTTTATTATTATTTAAATGTTATTTTAAATTGCCTTGGGAACTTTGGTGGGCAAAAGGGGACAAGATTAATTCTACTATCATTGTGCCCAAAAGATGCTAGATCACTTACAGAACTACAGTGGTGCCTCGCTTAAAGTTTGCTTCGTATAACGAAAAATGCGGTTAACGATTTTTTTCGGAGCGATCTTGCGCTTCGTTTAACGATTTTCCCTATGGGCGATTTTCGCTCAATGATTTCGGGATCATGCTTCGCTAACGTTTTTGGTTTTAGGTCCCCTTGTTTGGGTCCCCTTATTTCGCTTAACTTCTTTTGACAGCCCCGTTTTCGCTATTTTAAAAATATTCTAAAATGTTTAAAAATGTTTAAAATGCTTGGAATCGTTAGTGCCCCTAATAAAACCTTTGTTAACTTAATTTGGCTTTGTTCTGAGTCTTTTTGAATTTTTTGTGAATTTTTTCCCCCCATTGAAATAGGCTTCAATGCATTTCAATGGAGGAACCGCATTTCACTTAACGTTTTTTCCTATGGCGATTTTCGCTTAAGGACGGTAATCCGTTCCAATTGGAACGGATTATCCGGTTTTCAATGCATCTCTATGGGAAATGGTGTTTCGCTTAACGATGTTTTCACATAGTGATTTTTTTTTTAACCAATTAAAATCGCTAAGCGACACACCACTGTACCTCTTTTTTGGATGGAGACTTTGATCTTGGAGATGAAATAAATCTTTCTTGGGAGAGTGACAGAGCTGTAGAGAGCTGCCCTCTTGCCTCACCTGAATGGCCCAACTGCCTGTCACAGATAATTCTCAGGCTGGGAAGAAATTACTTAATCCTCTTCCCATCAAGAGATCCATGAAATTAGAAGTGTTAGTTGCCAGGTGTGGCTTGACCACCAGAATATGATGAAGAGAAAGAGTCTGTCTCTTGCTTTGATCGGTAAATAAGAACGCAAACCATGCCAGTACAACACTTCTGAAATCCCTGGCTCATAGAAAACCAATGAAGGGATAATGGATATGTAGATCAGCAAAGAAACAGTGTGTGTAATGGATAGAGTGATAAACTTGGATTCTGGAGTCTGATCATCCTTAATAGATATAGAAAATGCAAGGATCAAGAGGTTGGTGAGGATTAAAAAAATGTTCTAAACCTTTAAGATAAAATTTGCTAGGTAGAAGAGAACCAAGAGAAATCTGTCTTGGATTAAAGCAGGGGCAAAAAGGGGGAAAGAACCAAGTGTGTGCATTAGATATGCAGATTTTCCCCTCCCCATAGTTAACCCCTGCTCAGAGCTTGGAAATTGAATTCATTACTTTTTTGCATCAACACAAGGGGAAAAAAGCTCCCAAAAACTAACTTCCAGAGAACATCTAAATAGTAACACTAATGGGAGTTTCAGTCATTAAATAGATAGCTGGGGTATGTGTTCTCCAGAGAAGACAGTTGAATTCACAGTCACCCTTCTCAAAGGGAAAGAGAATACAGTACCTGCTTTGGCACTTTAAGTCCACTTGGGTTATAAATACGTATCTATATGTTAGCAAAAAAATAAGATCGTGACAGAGAACTATTGCATACCAACTGGAAATTATAGATCCAAGAGAACCCTATCAAATGATGTCAAACATTCCTTCCTATCCTCTATTTAAAACTGTGATTAAATGCCAGCCTTGAAGAATCAATAACATACCAGTTTTCCCTCTCCTTTTCTGATTTGGTTAGTATGGTTCATCCTAATAAAAGAAGAGCCTGACTAGTTTCAAAATGTTGCATGCACCAACACAGATTCCTTTAATTATTTTTTAATTGACTTGAAAAGCTGTAATCCAAAATCAAAGTAGAATAGTACAGGTACTGGGTATGGACACAGCAATTGCTGACGCAATTTAGGAATCTGTTCAGAAGATCTGTGCTAAGACCAGATATTAAGATTTCAGAAATGTTTAGCAACAGACTTTCATTCCCTTCTATTATGATTAGATGTAATTATAAGGCTAGTGGAAATGCAAACTAACACTAATTATCATCATTATCTTAGAACTGCAGAGACGTATAGGTAACATGTAAGGAGGGAGGAGAACAGAGACCAGTATGTAATTCTGGACAGATCTAGAATACTTCTACTGCAAAATGAATACTGTACATTTCACTCAACATTCCCTCTAATTTTCTGTCCCGCTGCATGGGAGCCTCACTCCGTGTGCATAGAGGTGGGTTGGGTCTAATTTGAAACAGGAAGTAAACGTACCAGCTGCCCCTGCGCATCCTCGATGGATCTCTGGGGGAGCACATGCATGCACAGTTTAGAGGGAACACTTATTTCACTTTAAATATAATATTTAATGTTTAATAATTAACAGAGTTGATTTTAAGATTAATGAGATTAACTCACCATATTCTGAACTAATTAGATTTATGCTAAGCTCATCAGATTTAACAGGTCTTCTCACTTCAACCTTTTTAATCCACTTCCCAACTTTCAGCAAAGCAGAATCCCTGCAAAGTATCAACACAGTGATCTTGAATAAACACGAACATACAATGATTAACATTTAAAAACCATCTGAGTATACTCACGTAATCTTTTGCTTTATAACCACCCGATTATCATTATCTCCTATTATTAAGGTGACGTAGTGAGAATCTGGAGCAGTTCTCTTTGTCTGTAGCTGTTCAAAGTTGGTTAATATGACTGTCACTAGGATTTCAGCTACCGCTTCACTGTATTTTGCCAGCTAGAAAAGAAATAAAATTGAAAATAAAACTAGCCTTAAATATATTACATGGCATAGTGGTAAAAAAAATTCACTTTGTATATATTGGCCATGGTCTGATATAACACTGAACTACTGAGGACGATATTGAAACTTGGAGTCTACAATTACTGAACAGATTAATCTTAACTAAGGAAAACTGTGGTTTTTATCTTGGCTTGTTTTCTGGAAAAAGAATTAATACACCACTGCTTCATATTCAGCAAACAAGGTTAGTTGAACATGGACGTAAAATCTTGAGAAAGATCCTTGTTGGAAGAGAATAACGTGCTCTTGCTTAGATTCCTCTAGGCAAACTCAGAAATAGACCTGGATGATCTGCCTATTGAAGAGTTATTTGTATTTCACATTGACACCTACTTCATAAAATATTAGTAGATAACATTTATCACAAGAGAATGTCCTAAGCCCCAAAAAATATCACAACTGGACCAAAGACTTACCTGTTCTATAGTAAGTTCATATTTTGGGAGGTACACTACTGATTCTTTAATCTGATTTCCGAAAGGAGGATGCCTATTCAAAATCTGAAAATTTGATTTCAGATAGTATTATTAATTTAAAACATCAATGCTTTGGCAAATACCTCAATATGATATTGGATCTGTTAGAAAAAGATATAAGTCTTCCTGGTATTGTTATTGCTATTTCCCCTAAATCCATCCAAATAATAATTTGGGATAATTTAAATAACTGTCATCTTACTACCCCAATTACATGTCATAAAACACTCTGGCAGACATAACAGTTTCCACACCAACTATCCTGCATGAAAAGGGTGAAGTCCAATCAGTCCCAACTACAGTAAATCCAGTGAATCAATTAGACTTACAGTATTGTTGAATTTCCAACTCCCATTCATTCAGTGGGTTTACTCTACTTGGGTGTAACAACTGGAGTTTAGCCCCCCCCCCCAAAAAAATTAAGCAATTGCCTGTCTTCTGTTCATGTAATCCTGTAAAACATATGTACACTGATGGTAAGAAGAATAATGTCTACTTCACTCTGTTTCTTCCAAGCTCATGTTAAGAGTGCTCATATTCAAACAGTTGCTTATCCTCCTTTCTCTCGTGTATTATTATTGCTTTCCCTTTCTGCAATCACTCTGCTTTCATCCACTGTTTCTGTTTTACCATATAAAATAAGAACTGTAAAACAGTGTATACTGTATATTGAAAACATGCTATAGCTATCATGAGTAATCATGGTTTGTCCCAGTCCTTTTAATAGTTACAGATAGTCATTGTTTTCTCACAGTCTAGGCAACCTCAGTACATATGTATACCACTAAAGTATCTTCCATACAATATTATCATGGTCACAGAAGGGCATCCCTCATATCTTTCTTGTGGTATACCATGCTGCTACATACATTTTACCTAGAAGTGTCACCCAGATGGGTGAATAAATCCAGCCACTCTAAATGATTCTGTATACAATTTTAAAGGCTATGATTTTTAATGTTTTAAAAGAAAAAAAGCAGGAGAAATCTATATATCTGACATTCCTTCAGCCATGCACGAACTAGAGATGAGAAGGCTTGTAGGGAGGGAACTCAGGAAGTGATTTTTTTTCTGTGTTATTTCATAAAAGTTTCTATTTCTGAATGAATGAAATGCTTTTAAAAGGAAGATTTTATTCAAATGGCAGGAAATGCATAGTATGAAGTTTTATGTACGACAGCCTATAGAATTCAAGAAAAATTTCTGTGCACAGTGTGGGCATGAAAAAACACTAATCCAAGATGCATGCCTGCAGTTAGCAGATGCTTCCACCTTCATGAAAGAAGCATATGAGGCTGCTGGCTGCCATTAGTGTCTGTGGATTGTAACTTGCTTTCATCTGCTGACCTTCCAGTTTTGTGGAGATGATCACAGTAGAAGCAAGACTGTTCTTGTCCAAACAGTATAATCTGTTTTGTTATTAAAATTGTGGCTTCTGTTTTTATTTTCTTCCAGCTTCTCAGATGGTGAAAAAAAGATATAAGTGTTTAGGGATAGCATAGTGTGTAGCAGTTTCTGTGTAGGACAGCCAGAATCTCAGTCAAGCAAAACTGGTTTTTTTCTGTTTTCTAATTTCATAATTTTATATGTGAACTTATTTAAGTGAAAGATTTTTGTGGCTAAAGCAGAAAATAAATTTAGGTTTGATATTGAAAATAAGTACTGTATATATTTCGATTTCTCCCCTCATTTCCTTTTTTTATGTGAAACAACTTTTTTTCATGGTTTTAGAATTTTATGAAAATGTCTATCTCTAGCACAAAACAATGCATAAACAGATGTTGTAGATCACTATATTTGATACAACTGAAAATTATGTAAGTTAGAAAATAAATACCAGTTCAAGTTCCCTTGCATTTTTATTTTCTATCTTTTTAAAGGATGTCAGACCTGCATTTACCATTGCATTTGACAGTGTTAAACCTGCAGAAAATTGAAATGTGTTAATTGATTTTTTAACCAATTGCATTTCCCAATAAAGTGAATCTTTTTTCAGTAATAGCAAGTAAATATGAAAAGGAAGCATAGCGGGAACTACCCTAAAGCTCTTCACAAAACTTTGCCACAGTTCTCTATTAAATTACATTTTCTAAATGAACAGATAAACGTTCACAAGTGTCATTTAAAAACAAAGGCATATTATAGTTATATTTATCTGCTAAGTTATGGTCAACAAAGAATTTGACTGTTGAATACAAAGGCATTATCACAATGATATATATTATAGGTGAAAGCCAGTGATTAGATTATGAAAACATCGAGATAGATTGGTGTGTTGTGGCTTGCACAACTTTAGTATGGATTTGTTGTTTAGGGCAGCAATCCCCAACCTTTGGGGGCGGGCGGGCGGACAGCTGTCTTCACAGCCCAGTTCCAGGAATTAAGCAACCACACAGACTGCAGAACAGGATAATGAAGAGCACTCCCAAGCACACCAACTTAAACTATGCCAGAAAGGAGCAGAACAGCTTGCAAAACCGTGGACCGGGAGGTTGGGGACCCCTGGTTTAGGGCACAACTAAGGGGAAGGGGTAATTTGGAGTGATCTGGGTGATGTTCAATGTTTTTTTTTAACCTTCACTGCTATCTATTTTATGGCATCCTTAAGACAGCCTTCCATTCACAAAATAAATGATTCTTCTCCATGAGAAGGAGCCAGACAACACTTCAGATCACTCCAATTTCTCCCTCTTTTGATTACTGATGTTCCCTCCCCTTCTTCATTTGTCGCTGCTGTCATTCCACAAGGTGCAGCAACGTCTACCCTTTTTGTTTAATTTAATAAAGGGCATAGTGCTACAGAAATATATAGTGCTACAGCAATACGGATACAAGGGAGTATCCTAGCATGGATACTTCCTTATATCTAAAATAGTGCTGCATCACTTAGATTTTTTAAAAATAATGAGAAGAGGAAAATAAAGGGGTTTCTTCACTATTCTTTCTACTGTCACAACCCACTGCATGCGTCACAGGGTTATCACCAAGGTGAATGCCACCCATAGCTCTATTTGGGAGGAATTAAGCAACCACACAGACTGCAGAACAGGATAATGAAGAGCACTCCCAATCACACCAACTTAAACTATGCCAAAAAGGAGCAGAACAGCTTGCAAAAGGGGTGGGATGGATCGCTTTTACTGTACTTCAAACACACACTGTTGCTTGAAAATCGGGCAAACCAAATCACACCAAAAGCAAACCATTAGAGAGCTATTTGCTCATTTGATTGATCCCTTAATTACTGGCATGCTGTTATTTTTTGCCAATTTGATGCTGCTCTCCTATTTTAAAATCTTGTGTGGCCGTGGGTCTCCCCCTAAGAAACTATTGCCCCATTTCTCTACTACATGTATTAATTAGAATAACTAACAAATTCGGGCGAGTCGGAGAGCTGTAGTGATATTACCCTGATAATGTCTGTTTTGCTGGATTTCATTGAATGTGTAGCAAAATATTCAGATTGAATTCAAGTACAAATATAACTTACACTTACAAGAGTGACTATGATACAAACCTATTTTTTCAAGTTGTTTTGCTACATATACTGAGTTTTCCCAAAGTCTACATTTAAAGCATTTTGCCAAAATCAATGAGTTTAGTAACACAAGAAAGTTGTCTTGACGGGAAGCCAGAAATTCAGACAACCCTGAAGAAGAAAAATAAAAAAGTATAAGAATAAACCCACACTTAGAATGCAAACTTTTATTAAGCAGTTTAAAAGCAAAATTTAGATTTTACCATACATTTTGTAACTCTTATGCCATTCCTGAATATCTTGCCTATATCTTGTGTCAAGGTGAAATCTTGTATGGGAATACATCCTAGCTGTGCCTGAATAAGACTGGAAGAAAACCCCAAATGCTGAATTCTTCAAAGTATTCAAAAAGCACCATATATACATAAACTCAGGAGCACTACTGAGAGCAAAATAAATAAATAAATCAACTTCAGAATCCAAACTAGTAAATATGGAATACTGAGAAAATATCTTGCAAGAAGTAATTTACGAGGAATCTTACTTTGATCCATATTTTAATTTTAAAAGAACATATAGTACAAAATGCTTACCAATTCACTTTCATTTCTCTCGTTTTTATCTTTCCTTCCATTGGGTATCTAAAATAAAATAAACTGCACTGGATTCTATTCATCTGAGCTGGAACTCTATAGCTACACATGCTCTGAAAGTCCCAATGAAAAACCAAGAAACTTATAGCACAACTATACATTGTTCTTTCTTGATCTCTACCTGACGATATGTGCTGTTAGACTATGAGTCTGTCTAGGAGGGAGAATCTGGAGTGGTCTGGTTTGCACTTAAAATGTTCTTATCTTCCGTGCAATCTAATCTCATTTGAGCAATCCTTCTGTTCACAGTGGAGACGTTTATTCTCCTATGAGAAGGGTCCACACAGATCTTTGGCTTGCTGCTTTACTCATGAGCAAGGTTTACCACATTTATTTGCATTTAGGTTTACTTGGTTGACTCATGAATAAGCAACAGCAGTCAAGGACAGTGGTGCAAGGGGAAAACATTAGGGTGAAGCCAGGGGAGACAGAAGGCAGATAACCTTCCCTTTTGCCTGCCTTTTTCACAGCTATGGCTTTGCTGGGGCTGTGTTGCCTTGTGAGAGCGGAGCCCATGGTGTCAACATAGCCCCCTTCCTCCTCTTTTCTTATGGACATCTTTCAGCAAGCCACAGTGACTCTCCTTCTCTCTCTTTTGGTTAAATAAATTTAAGTGGTGTATCAAAACAGGGATGCATCTACCTAGCATGGCATTAGAACTGAGCTGTGTCAATTAAAGATATACTGTATTAAAAAAGAAGATGAAAAGCATATCAAACACCAATAATTTCTGTGGGGCTTCAAGAAAGTATTCTCACTCTGCTGCTGAACAAGAGTAAGAGAGATGGAATTGAGGTGATTATAGTAATTGTAGAAGAGAAAGTTGTTACAATCAGCCAAAGGTTTTTAAACACATAAGAGACTTTTTTAACATCTCTTGTGTGAATATACTACAGTTTATGCCAATAGCATTATATGGCCATGTAACTGCATCCAAGAGAACACAAATTCTCTTTTATTCAAATTACACATCCATTTGGAATAATCTGATAATTCATTTTTGTACCTTATGGTTATCTTATTCTTGTCCTTATTCAAAGTATTCAGTATTCTTTTCTCATTTGTTCTTAACTTGATGTCTGAAAATTCATTGCAGCTGGATATCAAAGTAACCTAGAACAGTTATACCTGTTAATTTCAAAGTCTTATACTTCCTGTAATTTTTCAAATACTATTTTAAACACTTGTTTTAGAGTTATCTGCTCAGAAAGGGTCAAGCCAGACATTAAGATAAATGTATGGCTCCCTCATTGCTATTCCTACCTTACATTTTTCTCAAATACAAGTGCTTTGGCAATCAGGTCTACAAATTAAACCTGTTCATATTCAGAGAATAATCACAAGAAAACCACAACCCACACTGCAATACAAAACTAGGAGGTGAAAAGGTTTGTGCTAGGAGAAACAAGTGTCTTTTTCCACTTAAGAAATGAAAAATTCTACATACATCTACATTGTACTTCAATGTTTTGTCTCGAATATCTACAAGCTAAATATCTTCTAGTCAAACCCTTATATGCTCCTAAAAAATAATAGCTGGAATCCTATTAGTTACACCCACTTGCATAACACCAGCAGCATAACTATCAGCTGAGAATTGTAGCAAGTGAAGAAGTCACCACGGGTATTTCCTATAGAATACCAACTGTAGAACTCAGTACGTAATAGGGAGAGAGTGGGAGAAGTGGTGATTAGGTGGGCAAGGGGTGAGCAAGCAAGAGGGTGAGTAGATGGGCGAAGGGGTGAGTAGGTAGGCACCAGGATTTTCAGCAAGCCTGGTGCTTTTATTTATTTATTTTTAAATTTCTGCTATCTGGAACCAGGAATTTTTGAAAAGTGGATGGGGCATTCATATATGCAGAATCAATTCGAATGAATCAATTCCATGTCCACCCCAAAATAAACAGATCTCTGGCAGGGGAACAGGAAAACTCACTCTCCTGGCACAGTGTTCTGCACATGCATGCACCTTGTGCATATGCTAAAATTTAATTTTTTTTTTTAAAGAAGAACTTAGTATAACAGCAGGGTTTTTCTGTCAGAGGTATGAAGCCCAAATTGGTTCGATTGGTGCCAGCATCCCTTGGGGTAAGTTGGAATGGCTGAACAGGAATTTGAATCCAGGTTTCTTCAGTCCTAGTCTGTCATTTTATCCTCTACACTTCACTTGCTACCACAACTTTACTATTTATAGTGTATACCAACCGGAAATGAATGATAAGTGTCTAGGTCAGAGCCATATACAGTAAATGCCTCAAGAAGGGAAGTGTGGGGAGAGAGAACCAGACAGATGAGAGATTACAGCCACAATCACAGAAAATTATAACTATAATTGGTATCTAATTGGTATCTAATTTTAGAAGTTATCGATTTTTTCAAGGCCTTTGTATGCTACACTAACGTTTAACTCAACTCCATGATAGAATAGCACCACACTGCTCTTCCACTAGCATGCAAAACAATTCGCATAACAGTACAGTAGAACCCCCATTCCGCTGCAACAGTATCCACTGATTCATTCAACCGCGGTCAACTGAGTGAGATTTTTCATTCTGCTAAAACTTGTACATGTATATTAATTCCTCATTTGAATAATTAAATTACCAGTTCAGATAAAGTCTCAGTTCCATTAATCATGAAACACTTTTTCATGGTGTCAAAGGCAATATAATACCAAGCCATCAGTCGTCCAGTTTCTGTAGAATATACATATATATATTAGCAGTTAGCTGTATTTAATAAAGGAGGCACTGCATTCAATTTTCCCTACATAGTTTATCTACTGTGTTTCCCTGAAAATAAGACTGGGTCCTATATTAAAAACATATTAGGGCTTATTTTCCGGGAATGTTTTTTTTTTCATGTGCAACAATCTACATTTATTTAAATACATTCATGTCATCTTCTTTTGGTTGCTGCACAATGGTAGAGGGCAGAGTTTCACTTAACTTGAGCTTATTTTTGGGGTAGGGCTTATATTACGAGCATCCTGAAAAAGCATACTACGGCTTATTTTCAGGTAAGTCTTATTTTCAGGGAAACAGGGTATTATAATCCAAAGCTTAATGGAAACAACACAACATTAAGCAGATTGAACAATAAAACCACCAAGGTTTACTTTTTTAGCTGGAGTGCTAATAACACAATTAACAGTATTAATTTCAAAGGAAAATTCTCATTTGCTGTCAAGCATCAGGTGAAAGGGAAAGGGGAGATTAACAACAGCAGCAACAACAATAATGTGCCATCAAGTCAAATCTAACTTCTGGTGATCTCTTTCAGGATTTTCTACATATAGAGTACTCCATATAGAGTACTGAGAAGTGGTTTTCCCTTCCTTTCTTCTCATAGTGCTCTGGAACTGTGTAGCTTGACCATGGCTATATTGGCTCACTCATGTCTTACAAAGCATAGAAGAGAACTGAATTCCTGAGGTGCTGTCTAGTTCCACCAGCGACAGAGGAGTGAGACCCAAGAAAATAACCAAAATATGGCAACTTGAATGGAATGGGATAAAAATGATCACTGTTTTATTAGGCACACTAGAAAAGCCTTAAGATTCAATGAGACAAGGACCCAGGCATCAGATAAACTGTCTGCTGCCCAGTTTGCCATGTTCAGGCTACTTGCTGGGCAAACCTCAATGGTAACTACATGGGAAAACAGTCAGGGGGTGGATTGGTGCAACCTAAGGAGGTTATAATTGTGCAGCTGCCAAGCTGAGCTTCAAAGGAGTCTGGAACCATGTCTCAGCATTTGTGCAATTATCTTCTCTCAAGGCAGACCACTGGGAAAACCTCCTTCCTCCAATCCCTGCTACAAAGCCTGCTCCTGGCTTTTGCCAATCCGCCAATCCCTGGGAAGAGAGGGGCCAGGGGAACTTGTGCACATCCTGTGGCTCCTGGAACGCAACTGGCAGCCTGCATTGCTTACTCCCTCCCTCTTCTATCTGCAAACTTCAGACCTACAACTATATCTCTACATGTTCATGGATGCTGAATTTAGCATAATGTGGCAGACAGAATCTGTTTCAAACACTGTATTTCTGATGTAACCTTATAATCATGTTTTTTCCTCAGATCCAGTATGGATACGACATGCCTTTCAAGAATTGTACACTTGTCCAGTGTCTGTGGCTGAACTCTATAATTGTCAGAATTGCTGTGACTATCAGTAAAACACTTCCAAAATGAATGAATTTGGCAATCTAGCCTTTAGGCATGTAGCTACTGAAACCAGTCTTAATGGCTCACATTGCTGATCTGACATTAAAGTATTTTTTACTCTTTCTAGTTCCTGTTTGCAATTTGGATATATTATGAAGAGATTGATACTGACTTACTGAAATAAGATATGAGAAAGAAACCTCAAAGCTATTTAGAGCCACAGTTATTATGGTGACAGTGTCCTATCCAGAAATCATTTAAAACATTAAAAAAATAAAATAAAAACATCTGGCGTGCAAATGTAGTAAGCATTACCTGTTGGCTTGAAATAGAGTGTATCATCCATCTTGATCAAATCAAATGATGATAAATCATTCAGGTTCTTCAAACATAGTTCTACTCAGTTTCCAATGATAATTACAAGAAAAGAAAAGAAAAAAAAAGATTGATGACAGTGATAACAGGGAAAAAAACAATTTACTAATGGCATGGTTGAAGGTGAAATAAGGCACTTTTAGTTCTACTGAATTTGACAAGAGAAATTCGAGCATATGCATTCATTTTTCTGAAATTTATGGAAGTTTAAATGTAGCTGGTATTGGTTGGATGGGTGATGGCCTTAATTTACAGTTTATGCAGATGACAAATGAACTACAGCTCAGATAACACTGTAAAGTCTAGCAACATGGTAAACTTTTTTCTTGGTTACTGCTTCAGCCTCTTTAAAGCCTATGTTTCCATGTTATACATTTTGCTGTAAGGCAACTGATATGGAGTTGCCTTACAGCAAATGGAGCCTAGATTAATGAGACCAGTATGTGCAAAATTATTTTTAATCTAATTCAAAGATGAAGCCTCTATCATGCAGAGGAGAAGCACTTTTGGATGTTATTGCAAGCCAGTTCAACAATTGATATTGAACTGGATACCCACTGGATACCCAGAGTGGTGTAATGGATAGAGTGATAGACTAGGACTCAGGAGTAAGGTAAAGGTAAAGGTTCCCCTTGACAATTTTTGTCCAGTCGTGTTCGACTCTAGGGGGCGGTGCTCATCCCCGTTTCCAAGCCATAGAGCCAGTGTTTGTCCAAAGACAATCTTCCGTGGTCACATGGCCAGTGCGACTTAGACACGGAACGCTGTTACGATCTGAAATGGAGCCTAGGTTAATGAATCCAGTATGTGCAAAATTATTTTAAATCTAATTCAAAGATGAAGCCTCTATCATGCAGAGGAGAAGCACTTTTCGATGTTATTGCAAACCAGTTCAACTATTGATATTGAACTGGATGCCCACTGGATACCCAATGTGGTGTAATGGATAGAGTGATAGACTAGGACTCAGGAGACCTGTGTTCAAATCCCTGGTCAGCCATAGAAGCTCATAGGGGGAATGGAACTGGTAGAGCCACTCCTTAAATATCTCACTTGCCTTGAAAGCCCAGTTAGGGTTGCTGTGAGTCAATTCCAACTTGATAGCATCTAACAGCATATTGAACTTAAGGCAAATGATACCCTTCTCATGTTAGAAAAGTACTGAGGGCTGAGGCAAAGCATGAAGCAGAATGAACACACAAATTTAACAGAGGAGTCTGAAGCCGATTTAAAACACAGTGATCTCTTTATTTTCAAGATAGGTAGAAAACACCGCACCTTGCAATTTTTCTTCAATTCCAGTTCTGTCCAATCCAGCTGAAAACCCTTCATTAAAAGGAAGAAAAAAACAAACAAACCTACATTTGGCCATAGGTTGAATGTGCACCAAAGCAGTCTGCAGGTCTTCCAAGCAAATTACTGTATTTGCCGGTGTACAAGATGACTTTTTGGCCCTGAAAAACATGCCTCCAAGTGGGGGGGTCGTCTTGTATGCCGGGTGCATGTTTAGCAAACCCTCCCTCTCTCCCAGCGAAGTCACTTACCTGGTAGTAAGACCCAGTAGAGCCCTGCTCCTAGCCTGGGAACAGCCTGACTCTAGCCCGAACAGCTGATTGTCAGAACAGCAGAGAGGTGGCAGCCATTTTGAAATGCAGCCACATGGCTGCTGCCTCTCCGAAAAGGAACCAAAAGAGGCAAAAGGAACTCTCCCCATGATGCAGCCAAAGCAGAATCACGCATGCGGAAGAGGGGGTAGTCTTATACAGCAAGTATATAACAAACTCTACATTCTGAGTGGGAATGTTGGGGGGCCGTCTTATACTCCCAGTCGCCTTATACACCGGCAAATACGGTAAGACAAAAATGGCAATCATAAGATTGGTATAATAAAGATATATGGACAGCTATTTTTTAAAAGAAAATTTAAAAGTCAGTACTTAATTACACAATTTAATTTTTGATTTAATATAATCCTATATTCCTGGGAATCTCTTAACTAAAAATAATATGTTGTCTGTTTAATTCCTATTGTGGGACCAAGGATATTGCTGCCCCCATGCCCTGCATTTTCTCCAATACTATTCTCCGTGAAGGTGCACCTCAACTGTGTGAAGTCTTGCTCCATAGACCTTCATATAATGTATTTGATCCTAATGCACAAGACGGATCTGTTCTGATGATTGGATTGATGGATATTTCCATCACAATAGGCCCAGCTCAGATAGATCAAAGAGATCCTGCAAGAGAGGTGAACCACTTAATAGAATTAATGGGGAATAGAAATAATGTTCTCACAACAGCAAAACTTTGTAATGTCATATTGCTAGGCAGCCAGTAGCCCAGATCTGCCTGAAGAGTGGCCAACTACATCTATCATCCCCAGCCCTGAGCGCCAACATGTTTCTTGCCCCTCACATCTGGTGTTACAACAGTCTCCCTTGGTGCCTAAAATTAGGGAGAACAAAGCTGGATGGGTCTCATCTCAGGAAAGAGAATGGCACATATAGCCCTTATTTCTAGTTTTTCTATTTTAGACTGTCTTTAGCATTTGCCATTTCCCCATATTTCCTACTTTCCAACAATTCCTTTTCTACTAAATGAATAAGCTAGAAGAAAGCAAGTTTAAATATTAATACTGACATCAATGTTTTCCTTGCTTATTCTACAGTATTACCTATAAGAAACACATACCTGCCTTTTGAGGGATATGTTCATATTTCCTTAAACTACTGTTGCTGTTTTCAGAACCAAGCTTCAAAAGAACTGAATACCAAACACTGGTTTTAAATTATTATGAGGTATGAAATGAAACCAAACACCACTGTCCCTTTATTTTATGCTCTGGCATAAATGTTTTACCATGTAGTCTCTGTATTCTGATTCTTATGTCTGATGAAGTGGACATGTTCCATGAAAGCTTACATTAAAATATAGCAGTTAGTCTTTAACCGCCACATCTTTTTTCCTTGCTTTTATTTTGTTTTATGACTCTTGTTGATATGTTAATTTTGTAAATATTTCGTCATTTATTAATACAATGGCTTGAATGTACCTCAAAAGAATCAAAGTCACCCTGAAAATAGTTGTAGAGAAAGGTGTTAAATGTCCTAACTGTTATCATTTAAGGGCATTTCAAGAAAGCAACTATGACATTTACCACTTCTTTCCTCTTTCTTTCTTTCGCAGCTCTGAAAAGCAGCTGTTCCTTGTACAGAGAGATCCTACTGTGCCAAACACCCCAGAAAGTCTTATGTTGTAGTGTTGACAGCAAGCAGGATCAACTCTGCCTTCAGGGGAAACTAGATCTGTTTTCATTTGATATGAAATGCTTTTCTGAATGTTAATATCCTCTAGGGAAAAAAAAGTCTATTTCTCAGAAACCTGTAGAAAATACCATGCAACATTCAATAGAAAAACATTTCCAACAAAACCAGCTGTACAACTTAATACTGAGAAGGCAAAATACTATGAGTACTCCCTCATAATGTGATTCTGAGGTTCCGTAATAGGGAGATACTATACACACAATAATGGTGCCAGTAATGAAGAAAAAGCAATACATCTCTAAAATAGGCACACTTATGTTTTAAATTTGTCCCTGCCAGGGTCATGTAATAATGAAGCAAGGCGAATAAGAGCTCCAGTATATTCCAAAGAGGGAGTTATTTTTATTACTAACTTCTTTTGTTATATGTCCATAGGCCTGGATTATTTTTAGCTATTCACGTTCTCTGGTGTAATCTTGATTTTTAATTTGAAATACAACACACCGATCAAATACTGTGACCTTTCATGTGCTTGATATATATCAAGCACATGAAAGGTCACAGTATTTGATTGGTGTGTTGTATTTCAAGTTAATATATATCAGGCACTTAGCAGGCTGCAACATAAAGATATCAAAGGGAAGTTTGAACTCCATGCACTGCTACAAAACAGGATCTGGTATTACAAGATAGTTTGTGTATCTTGGAGAAGGTACAGTCATAGTGATGTTCATGCACATGAGATAAAGCAAGGACAGTAAGAGTTTATCACATTCCATGTAGGAAGTTTTAGGTATTTTCATTGTCTAAACCTCTGTTTCAAAGAACCCACATAAGGCAAAGGAAAATGCCATTCACAATGTTTGTAACTGCTTAGTACTTCCAGATTATTTTCTAAGATCTGGCTACTTTATTGCAACAGACTTTATTAGAACCAAATTGGACTGAAAGATAACCAACCATAGTGAGCTGGATTCTTCAAAGCTCTGACGTAAAGGAAGGTTGATCGTATCCATTCTAAAGCTATGTTCACATCAGTGATGGTGTGTAGCACTATTTCTGCATTTAAGTGTTCAATAAGGTGCATGTGCAAACTATGAAAACAAAAAAGGACATGATTATACATAAACGAAATATGCTAAAGGTCTACAAGCAGCATCTTATTCTCAAAACAGATCAGCCACAGACAGTGAAGTTCTGGGAGAGGGCAAATTCACTCTCTCTCGCCTTCCATTTGGTCATGAGCACAACCCCTCCCAAGGCCCATACCCCACTGTTATGAGCAGACATTGCAGAAGGGCTCTTTCATCTCCCCTCCCTGTTATAATGTGAACAACAACAGAGCCTTTGCCTACCCTTATCCAATTCAGCTTTACATGCTCATGACAAAGGAAGAAGAGCAGCTAAGGTGAATAATGGGATAACTCAGCACAAACATAACAGTATTAAAAGTAATTCAGGATTGGTCAATAGGTAGAGCAAATTTTGCTGGCATAGCTCCTGCTCACTTTTACTGTGGCATCATATTTTAGAATTTTTGGGCAAAATTTTTATAATTAAATGAAATAACCAGCTTATAGTAGGCAAACATAAGCATACAGTGGTGCCTCGCAAGACGAAAGTCATTTGTTCCACGAGTAGCATTGTATTCTGAAACTTTCATCTTGCAAAAGCGCGGTTTCCCATAGGAATACATTGCAATGCATTCCTATGGGAAACCTCGCAAGACAAATGAATTATTTTCATCTTGCGAGGCATTGCTCTTGCGGGGGGGGGGGATCATCTTGCGAAGCACGGCCACAGAAAAAGCCATCTTGTGAGTCACCACAACAATCACAAAATGTTTCCGTCTTGCAAATTTTTCATCCAGCGAGGCATTCGTCTTGTGAGGCACCACTGTATTAGGAACCACTCTATCCACGATAGAAAGATTTATGGCTAGATCTCCCAGTGCCTTCACTTTTACATTTCCTCCATCTGAGTCATGTTTTGTTACACAATCTGCACAGAACTAAATAGATGTCATCAAGATAGCCCTATTCACAGAGGTTAAACACTAAAATTCACAATTGTGGCCAAGAAATCCAAGATGTGTACATGAAATTCTAACCATAGTCCTATAGCTTACTCTCAGTGTACTGTGATTTTCACTGGAGTCAGAGAACGTAACACAACTAATTCAAAGCAAATATTTATTGTTTTCTAGCCTAGAGCAGAAGAATTAATTTAAAACAACCATGCAAGACTCTGAATTGCATTAGAACATCAATGCTAGAGGAGGAAGAGGAGGAACCTAGTCTTTCTCCCTAATCTAAATTGTTCTGTCATCAGATCCTGTGAAGGCCCCTTGTTCCACTTGAGGAAAAAAAATGCAGGGATTATTATACATTCTTTTCCTTTTAATTCATTCTTTCAAATAATTCACTGTAGTAAGGTACACAAAGAACTTAGAGGCATGTAGCTATATGAAGGACTGCAAAGCAGACCTACTTGTGTTCTACTCAAATGGTTAGAGGAAACATTCCAGGAAAATGATCTGGGTTATTGCTTGTCTTCAAGATTACTGTTCTCCTACATGCGGAGATAATAAAAATTTCCAACCTTCTCTTTCCCCACAGACCCATCTCCATGAAACAGAAATAACTTTCTTCTCAATAAAAAGACATATTACAGGCAGTATTTCCAACAACATAAAGAAAAATGGCTTAGGTTACCTGCTTTCGATTGTATCAGAACCATTTAACATCTGAACATACTTATCTCTTGTACTTAGCCTTGTCATGATGACTGCTGTGGCTGTTGAATCAAACTAAACAAACAAACAAACAAATAAAAGGAAGTGGCTAAAGGGGGAGGGTGATTAGCTAAAGACTACTATCCCTACTTGCTTTTCCAATACTTTTTAATATAGCACAAAAAGCAGTAACCCTATGATCAAATATTACAATTAAGTGATTCAGATAAACAGCAAAGAGTATGGGCCAAACATATATTTAGATTATACTGGATGAAAGGAGCCTTGTGGTGCAGGTTAAACTGCTGTACTGCAGCCAAACTCTGCTCATGACCCAGGCTTCAATCCCAGGTACCTGGCTCAAGGTTGACTCAGCCTTCCATTCTTCCAAGGTCGGTAAACTGAGTACCCAGCTTGCTGGGGTAGTGGCGCAATGTGTAGCCCCACCACATTGCTCCACCACCCCAGAGTCCTTTTAGCGCTGAGGGGCAGTATATAGGCAGCACGCTGTGCTTTGTTTTTGAAGTTAGTGTGACCTTATAGACAACAAGGATGATTTCCTTGGACAGCAATAGAAACTTGATCTAAATCTAATCTAATTTAATCTAATCTAATCTCTGATCTAAATCTAATCTAATTTAATCTGATCTAATCTATCCTATCTTGCTATGTCAAGTGCTGGCACTCCCTAGGGGGCTTCCTATCTCGCCATGTCAAGTGCTGGCACTCCCTAGGGGGCTCTTTTGCCCTGGGGAAGCATCTGGGAGCCTTAGGACCGCAGGCAGGGCTGGAAGTTTTCATCGCCAAAAATCACTGCCACCAGTGATAGAGCAGCGATTTTCTGATATTAAAGCCCCCTGCCCCGATTCTGATTCTCCCAAAGACTTCCCAGGGCAAAATGGATTCCCAGGGAGCCTCAGAGCCTGAAAGGGGGGAGGGGATAGGAAATTTTAACTAACATAAATTAAATAAAGAATTCCATTGCCAGCTGATGACATCATTCTCACTTTGCAGCATAAAGTTACACAACAGAATTTCAGCTACAGTACCAGGCGTTCACCAGTAAGCTTTCTGAAGGAAATTGTAAACTTTTTGTTTCCTGATTCTGGGTATAGTTAAATTTCAGACTGAATTTCATACTGACTTTCCTGCATCTCCCCAAACGTGTTTATTTCTAAGTGGAACTCTATAGTATTTTGTTTTAAGTATACATATTTTTATAGATAAAATATTTGATAAGGAACAATTTAAAAAAGAACGTGAGATGAATAATATAAATGTTGACCTGTTAGTGAAGAAAATCATAAGATGAATGCAAGTTTGGAACAGAGAGGGGAAAGAACAAGAGATTAAAAGCAAGAGATGCTCAGTATATTTTATCAGACTGCTATAGTTAAAATATCACTTTTACTGATGTTCATAGTAGTGGTTTATGTGGAACAGAATGGCTACAGAAGAAAGATTTATTCCAAAGTCCACTGAGGGAACTCCACAACCTGCTCTGCACATTTAGAAGGGACAACATTACCACCCATGAAAATAGTTAATGATATCAATGATTTCACTGGTTATCAGTGAACAATTTGAAAATGAAGATGCCTGTCTAGTTTACCATTAATTTTGTCTTATCAAGTAACATGACTTTCCTTGTTCATTCCATTTTTGTATTTGGCCAATCTTCTGGTAAAAGGGGGCACAGAACAGTATTTAGGTAGATATAAAATCTGTTTGCAACAGATGGACATTCAGTATACAAAAATAAGACAAGAATGCTTTACGGAAGATGCAAACTGGACTTATGGTTTCAAATATGGCAGATCTAGATAATTCAGCAGTACTGGGAATCAGATTAGGAACATTTACACGAGAACCTTCTTATTTTCCCCTCACAAATATTTCATAAACAGTGCTTTAAAAAAAAAAAACAAGCTAACCCAGGCCGTGGTTACACCAATAAAATGTTTTCCAGTTCTCTCCCTTTGATTTTGTAATTTAAATTTGCAGTCACATGAAACATGGCCAATTGTTTACCTGGCAAGCATGCTAACTGTGGATTATTTTTTGCTCAGCCAGAGGCTTCGACTTGTTTTGTTGCTGATCTTTTTTTTAAAAAAAAAAAGTTGCATGTGTGAATGATATTTTTGCAACTTTTTGAATTACGGTTAACGTGCATGTCCTTTAAAAATATACAGTATATATTTTCAATTTTTCTGCAGCGTTTGTGTTGATGCATCAGTGAACGTCTGTTAAACGGTCTCAGCAAGAAGCTCTAGGTGCTTATTGAATTGGAAGGAAGTGACTCAGTAATCCAAACACACACTGGGATGCATACCTTGGAATAAATGCCCCATGACCTCAGAGCATGATGGGAATGCAATTAAAAGTTGCGTAACCACAGGGGGACATTTCGCTGGTATGATCATAGCCCGAGATTCAGATTAAAGACAATAGCATCAGCCCATAAGCTTTCTACTAAATAAGGCTTTATTAATTATTCAGAAATAAGTTTACTGTGCAAAATACAAACTTTATGGAAAAACAAGACTACAAAACTTTCACTGAATATTTTTGGATTATTGTCACTGTCTGTCATATACTTTGATTACTCCCATTTTAATGTATTTAAAAACAGTTTCTACTTACTTGAGGTCTTCCAGCTCTTCCAATCATTTGCAAAATATCAGTTTCACTATATTCTTGAAACATTCCTCCAACATAATGCATTGTTGATTTTATAATTACTAGATGTGCTGGTAAATTTACCCCCATAGCAAGGGTACTAGTAGTAACTGAAAGCATTTAAAAACAGACCAATCACAAGACATTTTTGCAAAGAAACATATCAAGTATACTAAACAATCTTTCCATATAATAAAAAGGGTCCAATATCTGGCTATCATGTTTCCAACAGTTCCCATTATGTCATTATCATTTTAAATTAATTTTGTTTTTGGCAGATAATGTAATGTTTAGAGCACGCCCACACAATGAATGTTATGTATAGTTCTAACTAATGTTGCCACACCTCAAAATAAATACTGTAGAATTGATTGGTGTGCAGAAAAGGAAACCAAAATAATCAGGAGGCAGGTGTAACTTTTTATAAGAGAAGGTTACAATGATAGGGTATTTTATTTTACTAAGGGCCTGTCCAGACAGGGGAACTAGTGGTTTGGTTCACGCTTAAAAGGTTCTTATCTTCAGTGCAATCTATTTTATCTCTCACTTGTGTGATCCTTCCATTCACACTGGAGATATTTCTCTTCCCATGAGAAGGGTCCACACAGGTTTTGAATTGTCCCTTTACTCACAAGAAAGCTCTCACTTGTATGATCCTTAAATTCACACTGGAGATATTTCTCCTCCCATGAGAAGGGTCCACACAGGTTTTTGAATTGTCCCTTTACTCACAAGAAAGGTTTACCCAGTGTACTAGTATGTAAATTGACCCAGTTTATTCACATGTAAGTTTACCTGGTTCATTCATAGGTATAAACAGCAGCAGCTGCTGAGGATAGCAAAAATGGAAAACACTGGGGTGAAGTTTGGGATATGAAAGGCAGGTAACCCCTCCTTCATTCCCTTGTCTTTCTCCTCATCTGGGGCTCTGCTGGGGCTGCACTGTCTTGTGAGGCTAGAGCCCGTGAAATCAACATAGCCCCCTTCCCTGCATTGTCTTGAGACCATTATTCAGCAGGCCACAGTGACTTTTTTTCTTTTTAAATAAAGTAAATGGCATATCGAAACATCAATGCATCAACCTAGCACTGTATTAGAATTGTGCTTTGCTAGTTAGGGAAATATTTTGAAAAAGAAGACAAAAATAGAGGAAGGGATTTCTCTGCCCTCCCTTTTAATGTTACTACCCACCTAATGTGTCGCAGGGAGATCAGCTCAGATAACACTGCTCCATTTAGGTGCAAAATAACCATCCACACAAGCTACACAATGGAATATTTAGGACTGCATTGGATTGTACAAAAAAAAACAACAACAAACAAATCCAGAACCTCCTAGTGCCCTGCCAGAAAGGAGTGGGACAACTCTTAATAGGACAAGATGGATCAATCTAAGTAGAGACATGTGTAGATGCTGGAATTTGATTTACACTGAACCAATAAACAGTGATCTATACATCTGTCTGGACAGGCTCTTGGAAGGTTCCATTAGAAATTAACAGAGGTTTATACAATTATGCATGGCATGGAGAAAATGGCTAAAGATAAGCTTTCTCCCCATCCAATAACAATGGGATCTATAGCCATCCAATGAAGCTTGATGGTCAGAGACAGGGGACAACAACAGAATTAGCTGTCACCAGATAGGATGGTGGCTGCTAGTTCAGCCTTTGAAAAAGATAGCTTCCCAGTAGATGAGGCTACCGTTCATGACTGCTGTGTGCTGCACCCCACCACCAGATCGCAGGCAACCAGTTTCTGAATACTAAGTGCTGGGGCATATAAACTGGAAGCTAGTATTGCTCTCATGTTCTGCTTTTGGGTCTCCCACGATGGTAAGGAAGATGCTGGACTAGACAGACCTTTAGATAGTTAGACTGACAAGTTCTTTTTCTGTGTTCTCGTATCAAGCAATATGCACAAACTCAAAATGACAATTGAGAACAATGTGACTCAAATTTAAATAATAGGAGAAGAACTAGCAGTAAAGTTTCAGATACACATCAAATCACTCTGACCATACAGAAATGCTGTCTGCAACAAATCTTCAGACTATAATTTGAAAACACAAGCATGCTTATATACCAGGTGTTTATTCTAGGATAACTGATATGAACTTTAAAAAAAATATGTAACGTATTCATCAGATTTGTAGTTCCCTAAGGCAGCATACATGGGGGTATCCTGTTTAATCCTAGGAACAATTTGGAGTGATAGATTAATACTGGCCAATGCCGGGGGTTATATACAGTAATTTGATTTACAACATGAAAAGGATAAGAGTACAGGTCATCTTGTCCCTAGCTAATTTTTTGTTAACCATTCCACATAGCTATGCATTCTGATTGTCTCTTGTAATGTTTGTAATTTTAAATTTAAACTAAAATATTAAATGAAACTATTCACTTTTGTCAGTTAACATTTTTCAAACTAGCATTACCATGGGGGGAGCACACGGGAATTGCTTCATGCTGGTTTTTTGTAAATCAAAACTACTTTTCAAAGAAACAATATGTCGTCAACATTTCTGAATGTGAAGAATGTTGTACTCACAAAGAACTGGGATGTCTCCCATGTTAAAAGCTGCTTCAATGATTTTTCTATCTGACAACTCTATTCCAGCATGATGATAAGCTACTCCATAGATCAAGATATCTATAAATGCAATTCAAATCCAAAGCATTTATTAAATTGTCTTATTAAACATACAGGACCAAAATTTTCTTTAATTACATCCTACTTACCCCTCAGCCTGGTGTCTTTTACTAAACTTGCAGACTTTTGTAATCTTCCGAAGAAAGAGAGAGACTGCGTTGTTACAATGAATAAGACATCAAACATATTGCAAGAAGTCCAGTGAATGTCATGATTTGACTTCATTGTAACCATACACTTTTATTGGATGAGTAGTAAAAACACTAAAACTTTTGGCAACAGCTCCAAAAAGAAAGTTCGACTGCTACTTTCTGTCCCTCTTGTTTGGCAGAAACATACACCATAGAGTGTTCATAATTAATGAGCTATAAAATTAATAGCTGGAATCCTAATGGGATTTTATTCTGAAATAAGTGAAATAACATAAGTAATGGGGGGCAGAGGGAGGGAAAGAACTGAAGCTGATTTTTAACAAAGCTCTGGTCAGATGTCCCTGGTTCTGTGATCAGCAAGCAATCAGGCATACAACCAGCTATATTGTTAATTACCTGTAATTTGCTGCCGTGACTTACATGATATTACACTCAAATAAAATTCCAATTGGATACTGGCTAATAATTCTGTGCTAATGTTTTCACTATAAATATGATAATCTTGAGAATATGTGACTTCTCCCTAGGAAATTTCATATATTGAGGATGCTAACAACTGAGGGAACACAACTTTCATAGAAAAAGCTAGGATTATAATCTGTCTAATTTTTTTTATAATGCCCTACGTCATTTCCTACCCAAATATACCTTTCTATATGTACCTTGGCACCAAGGCTCTCCCTTCAGTTATGTCAACCGCCGCATACAAGGAACAGGGTGTATCAGAGGAGAGGCTGAGTCGCGATGTGTCAATCATAAAGGTCCACTCAAAGAACTAGAATTACAGGTAGATAAACTGTTGTTCTTCTTCGTAACCTTTGTGAATCACACTCTGGGTGACTAGCAAGCTATCTTACCCGGAGGAGGGTGTCACGCCAAGGTAGATGACAACACAGTGTGCCCAAAAGCAGGATCAGATTTCTGCCAAATGTCCACTCTGTAGTGGTTGATGAACATGGATGGCTGTGACCAGGTGGCAGAGGAGCAGACATCCTGTAGGGAAATGCCTCTTAAAAACACCCTGGTAGAATGAGGGCGGATACTCTGTGGCACTAGGAACTCCAGAAAGCTGATAAGCCAGCTGAATGGTGGAGGTAATGCACTTGGATATCCTTTGTGAGGTACCCTGGAGGCCTTTAGCAGGAAGATGACAGCTAAAAAAGAGTCAAGCTGAGCGCCTGAAAGGTTGAGTAAGGGCTATATAAAAGGCAAGAGACCTTCAGCACATTCAAAGTGTGGAGGATCTTTTCTTGTGAAGTAAATAGAGATGGAAAAAAGAATGGAAGAACCAACAGTTGGGAGAGGTGGAACTGGAAGACAACTCTGGGTAGAAAGGAAATATCTACAAATAGTCTGACCTTATCTGGGTAGAACTGGATATAAGAGTAGCCAGACCTCAAGGCTGCCAGTTCGCTAGCATGTCGTGATGAAGTAATAGCTACGGGGAATGCTGTTTTGAAAGTAAGGAGTCTGAGTAAGGGGCTCAAATGGAGCCTTTGTAAAGTTGTTGCAGGACCAGCATTAGCTACCACTGCGGTGGTGGTGGATACACATCTGGATATATATGTGACAGTCCTTTAAGGAAACGCTTTAGAGTAGGATATCTGAAGAATCCAGGTGCAGGGGAAGCTGGTGGCTGATAAGCAACAATTGCGGAAAGATAAACCTTGAGAGATGAAAGAGAGAGACGTTTGATTTTCAGATGTAATAGAAAACAAAGGACTGTAGGAAGAGAAGGATTGATGGATGGAACCGAGGCTGTAGCAGTAAATGACTGAAACTTTTTCCATTTATACAAATATGGCTATCTTGTTGAAGGTTTCTTTGCCTGCTGAATGACATTCATTAGGGAGGCAGAATCCTCCACGCTGCCAGGTGAAGGGTTGGAAGATCTGGGTGAAGCATCTGATTGTTGTTTTTTGTTAACAGGTGTGGCAGACAGGACAAGTGATATATGTCAGACGACAGGTGATGAAAAACCGGGAACCATGGCTGCTGTGGACTATGAGGATAGTGTTGGGCTTGTCCTGCTGAAGACGGACTACCACTTTGTATAGGAACAGGAACAATGGAAACAGGTAATTGAGTGACTTGGGCCAACGGCCTACAAATGCATCTCCACAGAAGTTTTTTCCTACTCGAATGCATCTCCACAGAAGTTTTTTCCTACTCCTGCGCGGGAATGATAACGTTTGCACTTCCGGTTGTTCCTGAAAGCAAAGACGTCTATTCTGGGTGTGCCCCAACATTTGCACAGCGAGAGAAAGACTGACTGGTCAAGTTCCCACTCATGGGCTTGGGCCTCCTTGCAACTGAGCAAGTCCGTGAGGTCGTTGTCCTGACCTGTTATATGTATTGCCGTGAGGCACATGTGGTGGGCTAGGCACCACTCCCAGAGATCCACAGCCAGATAGAGGAGGCTTGGAGAATGGGTGCCTCCTTGTTTTAGAATATAGTACATTGTAGTCGTATTGTCCATGGCTATCTGAACCATTTTGCCAGTAAGGTGATTTTTGAAGGCTTTGCAAGCTTTTATTACTGCTAGCAACTCCAGCTCGTTGATGCGGAGCAACACTTCTCTTTGTGACCATTGTGCATGAATCCGTAAGGATTGGCAGTGAGCACCCCAGCCAGTGAGGATGACATCTGTGGTAACTTGGATTTGTGGCCGTGGCTGTTGAAAAGGCTGTCCCATCATTAGATTTTGGGCAGAGTGCCACTAAGTCAGCTGGGAAGCAAGTTCTGGAGTGATTCACAACAATGTACAGTATATGGTGTTGAATGAAGCCAGAAACCATGCTTGAAGTGACCTCATTTTGAGGCAAACATGTTGGACTACTGAGATCATGGATGCCATAGTGCCCAAGACACATTGGACTATTAGTGCAGTTACAAGTGTGTGGGGAGTAAAATCACTAAGTTCAGTAAGTTGGTATGCTTGTCCACTGAAAGGAAAGCCCGAGCATGTCTTGTATCCAGAACTGCTCCTATGTAGTGAGCTAGCCTTGTGGGTTGTAATTTGGATTTCTGCAGGTTTACTGACCTGAAGTCAGTAAACCTGTGAAGGAGATGTTGCTTTGTGCTTTGCAACGTGAGCGAGCCACAAGGAGCCAGTCGTTGTTGTACGGAAAGATATGGATCTTGTGAAGTCTGAGGTATGCTGCCACAGGTGCCATGCATTTTGTAAAGATGGGGGGCTGTTGCAAGCCCGAACAGAAGTCTTTTGTATTGGAAAGCATGAGCTCCTAGTTGGAAGGCCTATGAGAAGGGTGGATGGAAACATGGAAATATGCATCTCTGAGATGCAGACCAGACCTTTCTGCATAGCAGAGGGAGGACAGACTTGAGAGTAACCATATGGAACTTGGGGATAGTAATATATTGATTGAGCTCCCTGAGATTGAGAATGGTTTGGAGACCTTCGTCGTTTTTGGGGATGACGAAATAGTGAGAGAAAAAAAACCTTGCTTGCTTGGTGTGATGGTATTGGTTGTATTGCGTCTTTGAGTAATAATGCCTGAATTTCTTCCTGCAGAGTTTGGGATGGAGGCATGGTGATGTAGGACGGAGGAGGAAGCTGATGGAACTGTACGCGGTACCCACTCTTTATGATGGAGAGGACCAAAGAGTCTGTGGTGATATATTTCCACATAGGTAAGTGCTTCCAGAGGGTGGGAGGGAGGTTGTTTTGAGGTGCTACTAGAGCCTCAGCCAGCTGGATGTCAAACATGCTGCTTGTGTTTGCAGTCATTGCACCTGGTTGCCATCTGACGATGCGGTTTGGCTCGATAGAGTTGCTGTTTTTAATAAGGCATGAAGGATGTCTGTCTCTGGGGTTCCTGTTGGAACTTCTGGTATAAATTGTAAGGGTGGCACCTTTGGAAAAGCTGAGGGTGCTGTTAATAAGTAGGATAAACGTCTGGCTGTTGTCCTTTTCTTTTGGATGTTTTTAAGAATATTGTCTGTCTCTGCATTAAAGAGGCCTGCGCCATCGAATGGGAGGTCTTTGATGCGTATGCGTGCATCTTCCGCCAGATCAGTGGTTCTAAGTCAAGAAGAACAGTGAAGCGCTACAGAAGCGGCCATCAATTTAGATGTGGCGTCGACTGTGTTTCTGGCCGACAACATCTGCTGTTTTGCCAATGAAAGGCCTTCTTGTTGAAAGGTTTCTGCAAGTACTTTCTTGTCCTCTGGGAGGGCATCAGTGAAGGTTGACATGTTGTCCCATAGAAAATGTTGATAGGTACCCATAGTTCTTTGATAACTGGCAACCCTCATGGTGAAGACATCACAGTAGTACAGCCATCTGCCCATAGAGTAAATATGCCTGCTATCTTTACTGGGTGGTATCAGGATTTGCCTGTGTTGAGAGTGAGTTTGTGATGCTTCAACAAATATAGAGTTAGGTGCCAGCTATTTTTGCAAGAAAATAGTGCCTGGGTCGTGCACCTGGTAGAGGTTGTCACTGTGTTTCGACACCGAGTGGGAAGACACTGGCTTGGTCCTGGAGCGGCGTGCTGTGCTGAGAAGAGATGGTAGCATGGAAATATGGACCGGTGTTGTAGTGTCTTTAGAGATGGGGTCATAGAGGTGACAAACTGGTTCGGTTGTGGGTATATGAATTTAGAGGTTGAGGGATTTAGCCATACGGACCATTAGCTGGGCATACATTTGAATATTCTCAGCTGGAGATGGAGGATGTGTATCTGCCATATCTGAGTCTGGAGAAGTTAGTAATACTGATGGCATTTGAGGTCTGGAGCCATGTTTAGAGCGTTCGGGATCGTGCCGTGAGTCTACTGACTGTCGAGATCGAGAGGCTGATCCTCGAAGTAATGGTATCGACCTCGGGATGCCGATATCAAAGGCGTGTCCGTGGACAGCTGTCAATATTGACGGTCTTCAACTGGTATTGACACTGAAGGTATACCTGTGGACAAGGGCTGATATCAAGGGTCTTCGGGTGTCACAGAGACCGTGGGTGCATCCATGGACACTGTTAGGAATCAGTGTCGAGTTTGTGTCAAAATGGAGGCTGTCAGTATCAAGACCACTGTCGAGATGGAAAAAGTGTTGATGGACCACACTGTATCATAGTGGAATAAACAGATGCCAGAGACGCGGAGTGGGGTGAACACTTGCAGTCTTCCTAATGAGTCAGGAAGTAGTAACTTGCTGGTGCTGAAATGCTAGGAGCTGAGGAATATTAGTCAGCTTGCTTGGACCTTTTTTGTGCCGGTGGATACGCGGTGCCAAGCATCTCAGAGTGATCATGACAATAGGATCGCCTCAACCCCAAAGCCTCCCTAGGAGGGGCAGCATGTTCTAGCCATGCTTCAAGACCAGGAAAAATGGCTGGTCGATTATATTTAGCGGGTTTTTCCGTCAGGCACCAATCAGGGCAAAGAGCATCCCAATGATGGTGCTGAGCATACTCTATTTCTGCGTGCAAGGGCAAGTGGACACTCGTAGAGGCTTGATGCCTTTGCTGATGTGCTGGAGGCCGAGGTGGTAGGCCTACAGGGGCACAGTGTCTGGTGGAGACTACCTCCCAGCAAGTCTTCAACTGCGATGAGACAGGGCTGTTTTGGAAGAAGATGCCCAGGAGAACCTACATCACTCAAGAGGAACAGAAAATGCTGGGCCACAAACCCATGAAGGACAGATTGACCCTTTTGTTCTGTGCCAATGCCACCAGCTATCTGAAGATCAAGCCTCTGCTGGTGTACCACTCCCAGACTCCTTGTCCATTCCACCGAGAGAAGTTAACAAGGCCACACTGCCTGTCATGTGGAAGGCAGCTGTTTATGGAATGGCTCTATGAAGTGTTTGCATCCACTGTGAAGAAATATCTTTTGGACAACCAGCTTCCTGGTGCCTTCTTCTGATGGACAATGCCCTGGCACACACCCCAACCTTGGTGGATGATATTGACGAGGATTTCATCAGGGTCAATTCCTGCCCCTCAACACAATACCTCTTCTGCAGCCCATGGACCAGCAAGTGATCAGCAACTTCAAGAAGCTGTACACAAAGGCACTCTTCACCAGGTGCTTCAATATCACCAAGGAGATGTCCTTGACCCTGAAAGAGTTCTGGAAGACACATTTCAATGTCCTCCACAGCATCAGACTCATCGACAAGGCCTGGCAAGATATCACAACTAGGACCTTGAACTCAGTCTGGAAGAAACTGTGGCCAGAATGTGTCACAGACAGTGTCACTAAGGGGACTGATTCATAGGTGGTGAGGGGCATTGTCTTCATGGGTGAAGGTATGGGTCTGGATGTCGACGAGGATGACGCAGAGGAGCTGAAGACCACAAAGAGGAGTTGGCCACAGAAGAACTTGCAGAACCGCAAACTGAGCAGCAGAAGGCTCCTGTGGAGGAGCTTTCCACTGAGGAAGAGGAAGAGGCACCGCAGATTAGCAGCGAGATCAAATCCATCTGCAAGAAATGGACCGAGTGCCAGGACGTCTTTGAGAGGCACCACCCAAACAGGACTGTGACAGGAAGAGTTTTAGACATGATGAATGAAGTGGTCAGCCACTTCAGGAAGATTCTGCAGCGCAGGATGAAACAGACAAAACTGGACAGATTTTTCACCAGGATGGAGCTTGCAGCCAAGAGACAGCACCAGGTACCCCTAGAGAAGATGACCCAGAGGAGGGGACCTCTACCTCACAGTGATGACCATTTCACCATACTCCAGCCAGAAGTCACTGTGATGTCCTCCAGAAGACACCAAAAGCTAAGTGACCACTCTTTTGTTTTAAAAGGTATTGGCGGGTGGGTTTAATGCTTCTTTCATGTTAAAATGCGTTTTGTTTAAAAGTTGCTTGGTTTAAAAATGGTGTTGTTAAAATGTGTGGGTTAAAATGTGTTTTAGCCTCCAAACTCTCGCCCGCCACTGTCTTCTCTCTCTTTGTCTTCTCTCTCTGTGTGTAAAAACACAAACCTTTGTCTGAGGGGTCTGTGTGCCCCAGTGATGACCTTCTTTCTTTCTTTCTTTCCTCTTTTCCCCATTGTTCCCTCCCTCCCTCCCTCCTTTCCTGCCCTTTTTTTACTTAAAAAGTGCTTGGTTTGGCTTGGCTTGGCTTGGTTGAAAAGGTGTTCTGTTGTTTTAAAGGTTTTCAGTTTGGAAGGTGTTCCCTCCCTCCCTCCCTTTTTTAAACCAAAAAGGTGTTTGTTTTGGTTTCAAAGGTGTTCTGTTTAAAAGGTGTTGCCCCCTCCTTTCCTGCCCTTTTTTTTTACCTAAGTTCATCTCAGGTCAAAAAGAGGTAAAGGTAAAGGTTCCCCTTGACAATTTTTGTCCAGTCGTGTTCGACTCTAGGAGGCGGTGCTCATCCCCGTTTCCAAGCCATAGAGCCAGCGTTTTGTCCGAAGACAATCTTCCATGGTCACATGGCCAGTGCGACTTAGACACGGAACGCTGTTACCTTCCCACCGAAGTGGTCCCTATTTATCTACTTGCATTTGCATGCTTTCGAACCGCTAGGTTGGCAGGAGCTGGGACAAGCGACGGGAGCTCACTCCGTCGCGTGGATTTGATCTTACGACTGCTTGGTCTTCTGACCCTGCAGCACAGGCTTCTGCGGTTTAGCTTGCAGCGCCACCACGTCCCCAGGTCAAAAAGAAGAAGAAGAAAAATCTCCCCCTAGTGGTAGAGTATGGATTAACTGGCTTTGCATTAGTTCTTATGGGAACTAATGACTCTACTTGCGAACAGCGCCTCTAGATAAGAACGAAAAAGAGCCAAAATGGATTAAATGGTTTTCAGTGCATTCCTATGGGAAATTTTGCTTCAACTTACGAACATTTTGACTTACAAACACCGTTCCAATACGGATTAAGTTCATAAGTCAAGGTTCCACTGTAGTTAACATCTGGTCACTGTCCATACCCAAATCACAGAGGAAAGACTTAATTCTAAATACCCATGGGGCAAACATAGGTTAATCACATATTAAGGACAAGCACTAACATTGTTAATTCATTTTCCAAATAGTCACATTAAAAACAAATATGAGAATCATCCGTGGCATAATCACTGTAATAAACATAATTACTATAGGGACATCATTGTCTATGCAGCCCAAGAGCTGACAAGCTACAAAAACTATTGATTTTATTACAAGCTCTTGCAAATTTATCAAAACCTATGATTTTTGCATCTGTGTCACTGGACATAGATAACAAACGTTAGGGGAAAGTTCACATTATAAAAGGTACCTTTTTTGCTGTTCTGCATTCATAATGAATCTAGCATCTTTTGCCAGTACAGCAGCAGCCTGCTGTACTCCTTTCCGGGTGGCACAGAACTATAAATAACAATAAAATAAGCTGTTTTACTAATAAAGCTAGGAGGTGTACAACATCATTATATTCACAATACGAAAGCCACAATATGTACCACAAGAGTTGGCCTTTGTTCAGAATATGTTTGAATAACACTAGCTACTTTGTAATTAAGTGTCAAGTCAAATTTGAATTCCGTTTGGTTGCTACTGCAGGGAAATCCAAGCACTACTTTGCGAAGCTTCACTGGTCGGTGTCTTTCATCTATTTTCAGACATACAGCAGGCCTCTTGCCATCTGAAAGCCATTCTGCAATCTTTAAAGAGAAAAGAAGGCATGTTAAAATTGAAGCTGGGAAGAGTGCCCTGGGCTGAAGTCCTTGCTCATATTGAGCTACAGTGATGTCACTGGAACTCCACAAATACTTATAGGTATAATGTACAGTATCAGTTCTTCAACCTACTCATCTCCTCTACAAATATAAAATGTGTAGCTGCTATTTTACTGTGGTTTATTCCAGATAATATAAGACAAAAGAGTGCCTATACAATAAATATTTCCCACTGCTATGATCTCAGGAGATATGTTATTTACACACAAAAAGGTGTACTTTCTCTTTAATATTCAGTTGTTACAATCATAGTAAAATGACAGAAGAAATGATTACAAGCTAAGGGACATAAATTATAAATACTGTATAAGTAAATGTTAAAATATTCCTTATTAGAACGGAAGTGCAGCTTCAGTTCTCAGTAGCACTGAAACAGTCTGGCTTTCAGTGCAAACTCAGAAATTATCCATATGAACACATAAAGTCACCACATGCTGAAGTGGCACATATGACTCAGTATTCCCTGGTCCTCAACTGAAACAATAGAAGGAAATACATTTCATGAAGAATGTTCCCTTCCTTGTAAAACAGCTACACAAACTACTTTTCAGTCAACTTCTTATACATCTTTGCAAAAGATGGTAATATTATTCACAAGGTAGGTGGTATAAAAAGGAGAAGGTCACCAGATGAGGAAGCAGAATATCCTCTTACTTTTCTGGCCTGCTACAGCCTTCCTCTCACCTCAAACTCATAAAACCGCTAATTAAAAATCTACTTAATGTTTTACACTGGAGAAAAAGTGAAAAATCCTGCATGTATCCACATCAAAGAACCAAATCTTAATACTTATGGAAAACAAAGATTTCCACCAGTGTATAAACACAAAAGAAACACAAGTGGGCCAAGAGTGAAAAGGCCTGTGGTACAGGTTTATAATTAAAAAGAAACATTTAATTTATGTAAGAAAATCTAAGTTTAAATCATAGTTTGAAATAAGAACTAGGAACGTCTCAGAAATATCCACAAAGCATGACATCATAAAACACAAGTTGTCATGCATTCCCTACTGATGGGTAGCCAGATTCAGTTCCATTTTACACTTCTCTTTAACTGATTTAATAGATAAAAAACAATCTCTAATGGAAAAACAATGGCCAAATCCATCCAAGTCTTTGGCCAGCCTGGGAAATCAACTGGATACAAAGGATGCAGCTACACTGGGAAATTAATTCTGTATGATTCAGTGTTTTCTACAACACCTTTGTGCCGTCCTTCACTGTTGACACTGCTTTAATTGTTCACATGGAAAACAGTAATTATCCAGGGGAAGTGCATTGCAAGAGTGCAAACAGTAGCAGAGATCTTGTGGGCACCCACCCACCTCCGAACAGTACCAGCAGGATGTTGCAGCAATCCCACTGAGGCAGGATAAGTACATGAGTATAGGCATCCTTCAGTCTCGAGAGACTATGGTAATATGCTCTGAATCGAGGAGTGTCCTCTCCAGAGCATGAAGCCCGGGTAAGGTAAAATGGAGGATAGGCTGTTACCCAAGCAGCAGATTCCCCCTCTCCACATTGCTGAAATGGTCCAATGGAAAGGCAAGAGCCAATACAACTGGTTCCAGCAATGTCGCAGGAGTTGGCAGAACGACACATGCTGCCTTCGGGACTCCAGCTCCGGATTTTGCCTCGAGGTTAACTCCTGAGGCCTTTTCCATGAGTGGATATAGCCACAAGGCAGTGGAGGTTTGAAATCGGAGTTTTCCTTCTCCTAGATGGGCTGCCTTCCATGGCTGACGAGCCCCACCTACCCGGCCTGTACATGAGTAGCGCCCATTGAAGCAGGAGAAATACATGGGAGGGGGCACGCAGATGGCCTTTGACTGTCCTCTGTTTTAAGAGATGGGCCATAAATTCCAAACTGCTAGCTGTGGAGAAGCTTGAAATCAACATGCATGCTATTTCCATCTAAGAAGCTAAGATGGCCTCTATACAATCAGCCGTGGGAATTTGGGACATTAGTAACAGCACATGAGTTTGGAACTATCCATCAGAAGACTTGAAGAAGATGATTTATTATTGAAAGCTTGCTGTTGTTTTTATAGGTATATATTCTTAATGGTTGATTAAAAGTATCACCTGCTCCTGTTTTTCTACCCCATTTGTAACCTCTGTTCTTGGGGAGCAGCGGTGTGATCTCTTGCAAAGGGTAGAGCAAAATGACCACTTTACTCCTCTGCCACTTTCTCTGGTGGCTTTTTTCCTGTTGTTGGAGTAAGGGGAGAGGTTACATTCTCTATTTATTTTTTCCTGAGGTGAGATAGTGCTTATTGGAATTAGTGCAAACTTTGAAGACCATTTAAAAAAGAAAGAAACACTGCTTGGAGACAACAGATGTTCAGTCAGTTGAAGGAAACTGACACCTCTGCAGCTGCTCTTTGCATGGGTTCAGATGATCAGAGGGAAGAAAGCACAGAAAAGTGATGTCAGTTGAATGAGAGCAAAATAAAAACACCTCCACCAGCTAAACTAAGAAAGACAATTCCCCACCAAGCTTCTCCATGCTTAGCTTTATGTCACATAGTTACCAGTTTTTAATTTGATTTCATCTGTGCCAAATCTGACACAAATTGCAGAGTGAAGGGCCAATATAATTGTCCCTTCGTGACTGTTGGACAGTACACACTGAAATACTGGATTAACATCAATTTATGATGCAATACTTTGAGACTCAGAATGATTTCCTGACTACATTTCCCCCTTTGTGAAGGAATCATATCCACATTTTTTCTAAGAAAATAAAAAGAAGCTTGTGTTTGTTAGAGACATGCACTTGGAATAGGAAAGGTGATAAAAGGACTTCTAGCAAACTAAGGTGGAGATGTTAGCAACCATGGCTGCCAATTCCGTCTCCGGAGAACAAAGACAAGATGTCTTCCCCTTGCAGGCATAAGAGAGAGGTGTGAGAAGGACATGATATCAGCAATCTCAGGAATAGGAATCTAAGGTCAAAGGAAGATTAGAGGAGCTAAAGGATAGTCTAAGAAACTTGAGGAAGTCTTCTCTCTCTCCTCTTTCCATGCAAAGATATGTGCATCTTCTTGAATATCAACTGAGTTGCATCCAGCCACTTCCAACAGTGACAACCAGAAGGCAGAAAGGAAAGCATCCCTCTTCAAATAATTGCAAATAAGACTTGGGTAAGCCCAGTTCTTCTTACACCACCACTGTCCCCTTTGCTCTTATCTTGCTACAACACCAAAGCCTATAGGAAAGCAAAGATAGGGCCTAGGGATGTAAAAATGGTTTGAGGATCTTTGGCCTGGGATTTTCTCAGCAAGGACTACGTTGATGTTCTACTGGGGATTTTGAGACTGACAGTCCTAGTCCTCATCCCAGCACTGGGGGGGGGGAGCACACCTTGGTTTTGGGACAGTGACTGTGAACAAATATGAAATCCTTTTCTCACAACAGTGATTTTTACACTTAGGCATATTCTGTCAAGAGAAGATTCAGTTATAGTGGAGAAGGTGGCAGCCTTTTTGAACCAGGCAGTGAGGATCTGCAGACTGAGACATAATAAATTTGCATTTGTTGTTTAATCATTAAGTCATGTCCGACTCTTCATGACCCCATGGACCAGAGCACGCCAGACCCTCCTGTCTTCCACTACCTCTCGGAGTTGGGTCAAATTCATGTTGGTAGCTTTGATGACACTGTTCCACCATCTCATCCTCTGTCGTCCCCTTCTCCTCTTGCCTTCACACTTCCCCAACATCAGGGTCTTTTCCAGGGAATCTTCTCTTCTCATGAGATGGCCAAAGTATTGGAGCCTCAGCTTCAGGATCTGTCCTTCCAGTGAGCACTCAGGGTTGATTTCCTTCAAAATGGATAGTTTTGATCTCTTTGCAGTCCAGGGGACTCTCAAGAGTCTCCTCCAGCACCACAGTTCAAAAGCATCAATTTTTTGGCGGGCAGTCTTCTTTATAGTCCAGCTCTCACTTCCTTACATCTCTACTGGAAAAACCATAGCTTTGACTATATGGACCTTTGTCGGCAAGGTGATGTCTCTGCTTTTTAAGATGCTGTCTAGGTTTGTCATCGCTTTCCTCCCAAGAAACAGGCATCTTTGAATTTCGTGGTTGGTGTCACCATCTGCAGTGATCATGGAGCCCAAAAAAGTAAAATCTGTCACTGTCTCCATATCTTCCCCTTCTATTTGCCAGAAGGTGATGGGACCAGTGACCATGATCTTAGTGTTTTCATGTTGAGCTTCAGACCGTTTTTTTGGACTCTCCTCTTTCACCCTCATTACAAGATCCCTTAATTCCTCCTCACTTTCTGCCATCAGAGTGGTATCATCTGCATATCTGAGGTTACTGCTATTTCTTCTGGCAATCTTAATTCCGGCTTGGGATTCATCCAGTCCTGCCTTTCGCATGATGTATTCTGCATATAAGTTAAATAAGCATGGGGACAATATACAGCCTTGTTGTACTCCTTTCCCAATTTTGAACCAGTCAGTTGTTCCGTATCCAGTTCTAATTGTTGCTTCCTGTCCCACATATAGACTTATCAGGAGATAGATAAGGTGGTCAGGCACTCCCATTTCTTTTAAGGAATTGCCAACGTTTGTTGTGGTCCACACAGTCAAAGGCTTTGGCGTAGTCAATGAAGCAGAAGTAGATGTTTTTCTGGAACTCACTGACTTTCTCCATAATCCAGCGCATGTTACAAATAAATTTGTAGATCCAGATAATTAATAGTCTGATATCTTGTATATGTGATTTTTTCTGTATGCCCATAAAAGCTCTGACTGACTGAAACTAAAAATCAAACCTTCACAAAACTTCAAGTAAATGCCAGTATTGATCTCTCTCTTAGTATTATTCTCTCTTTAAGGTTTCAGGAAGGTCTTTTCTAGCCCTAGGTTCCTAATTCCCTTTTCCTATGGTGCTAGAACTGTAAGTGGGGTCTGCAACAATCAAGGCATGTGCTCTAACACAGAGCTGTGTGACCCATCAATAGATTCTAGAATAAACTAATTAAGTTGCCAGTGCTGCAGGTTCTATCTGTATTCATTAAGTGGAAATTAATAAAAAGGAGAGACCTATGTTTGCCTATCAAATATTGACTTTTTAATTCAAACTGTCACAACAAGGAAATCAATGGATAAATGTCAACATCTTTCTCATTTTGTCTATAACTCTGTGTGTGTGAAGGGAGGGAGGAAAAAATCAAAGGGGAAAATATTTTTTTTAAGTACAAGTAAAATTCTATTATGTTAATTGTTAATTCTATTAACATTCTTACATCATCTGCATTTGGGATTGTTGCAGAAACAGCCACAAATCTCATGGGAAGGATTGAGTCAGGATCGTCAGAACTACATAAAAGAGATGACTGAACAGTCTTCATTCGGCTGACCACAACCTCAAGGGTAGCACCTCGGCTCTCATCTTTTACAACATGAACCTACAGAATAAAATGTATACACATGAAATAACTTGCCGTGTTTTCAATCATACTTTAAATAATTTATTATTACTTTACCTCATCAATGAGAATCAGTCTCACTAGTTGAACTATAGAGTTATCTCGCCACTTTCTAGTCATGCTATCCCACTTTTCCTTGGGAAAGACAAAAAATGCCATTATAGTGATACAATCCGTTACTACCATTTCTTCACTAATTTTAATAGATTTTTTTGAAAGTATTGTTTTGTGATTATGATTATCTATAACTATTATTAAAATACCTCTACTGATCAAGATAATTTAAACACATACAGCTGTGACGAGAAGACAGAGAGGGTCAATGAGCATATACAGAGTATAACTCAAGGGTGAAACATGGGCACAGCACCGTATTGACTAGAGCCGTGGTCCCCAACCTTGGGCCTCCAGATGTTCCTGGACTTCAACTCCCAGAAACCCTGGCCAGCAGAGGTGGTGGTGAAGGCTTCTGGGAGTTGAAGTCCAAGAACATCTGGAGGCCCAAGGTTGGGGACCACTGGACTAGAGCATACATGGTTAACTATGTAATGGGGAAAGGATTTAGCCACAGGTCAGTCTGTCTTTTGGTCAGAATGCAACCAAATCTTGCTGAAGCATAATAGGACATGTTGATATAGAAGGGCTCACCAAGAATACCCTAACCACGTGGGCCACCCCGTCATCTGAATTTAACACAGATTTGACAGTACTATCCCAGCCAAGCTGACATTTGTTAGCACTTCATCTCCATGAAAGCAGAGATACCAGTTGTATTGTGAAACCTACTGGTGTAGTCAAGATAATATGGGCATGCTGTATTTCAAATAAATCATCCATCGCTGTATCTCCTGTTAGTTCCTTACATATGAGTCCAACGGGTTCAAATTTTTCTTTCCAGTCATCAAAACGCTGGCTGCAGAGAGCTTTTATTGGAGCCACTAAAAACAATACAGAGTAGTAGGGGAAAACAAGTCATGTTTAAATAGGTTTCCAAACCTGTTGCTTAGAATGACTGGGTTTTTATGTAAAACTAACTCTAACTCCTTTCTTGCATGTGAAGATCTCCTTTCCTGTATTTATCTGAGACTTATCTTGGAAAAAGGTTCAACAACTATTTCAGTAGCTATCTGAATTATTGCCCCATGGAGGCCTTAATAGTGCACTCTACATAATTATGAACATCACTCTCAGCATTCGGCTTTTTTATATTAGGCAAAATCTTTATCTATGGCTCTTATTAATTTTGCAATTATTCAAAATTTAAGAGACAACCTTAAATTTCTTAGAAGGGCGGCTGATGTTGCCACCTTCTCTGATGCCACATCTTTTCCACCAGCAGGCCTAAGAGGTATCTTATTAGAGGTATAGGGTGGGTGGGAATTGGAGAAAGACTTATTGGATCCAAAGCCCTCCTGACAAAGAGCAAGAAATGATTTTAAAAAAGCCTTAGAGATGGCATATTTCTCTCCCCCCCCACTGAAACCAATGGAAGGGTAGGTTTTTAAAAGGAATGGCCAGCACCCTTTAATTGCAGACTGGGATTCTATCACCTAGGACAGGAAAAAATGCAAGAAAATGAAAGTGCTCTCCACATCCTTTGACCTAGTTAGCAGAAAGAGATGGCTAATCCACAACTAATAGAGCAATGCCTTAAATGTGATTGTGGCAATTCTCCCCTCCTGTAATTTGCAAATTAGCTTCCTTTGTTTTGTGACTGGCCTTTAGGCTATAAGCTTGCTGCCTTTGTAAATCTGACTTCACTGAGATTAAAATACTGTCTCAATTGCATCTCATGAACACTGTCATAATTTCAGGTCTAATGACAGGTTATGTGTAATATAAAGTGTGTCTCTTATAGGTGGCTCATTAGTCTAAACAACTGGCACCAAGTGTAGCAGTAGTAGCAGATTTCTGGTGCCTTTCCTCACCTTACTTCAGCCCTTTGGTTCTCCATTGGATTCTGATTGTGGCTCTGCTTTTGACCTCACAGATTGCGATCTGCCTTCCTGATATATAGTCTGGCTGCATTAATAAGCTGCCCCTTAAGACCCTGACTGCTCACTCCAGTCTGTCTGAATCACATCCCTATCTTTGACACCTAAACATAAGGAAACTGCAGCCAATCTTAGTAAGAGGGCACTGGAAAGTGATTAGCAGTTAAGAACTGATAGACAGGGCATACTCAATTTTTCTTGCGCTTCTTAGTCATTCACTAAAAAATTAAGCTGTTTTTCCCCATCCTTTTTGCTTATAATTCATGTTCTCTTTATCTAATTCCAACTGGGTTAAAAGTAAAAGTGAAGAATGCAGAAAAGGACATTAGAATTATGTATCTCCTTTGTGCATGCAAATGCTCTTCTTCAATAGATTTATGATGGCGTGCATGTGTGTATTGGAAACCTTGCATTATCTTCTGACATGCAGCCCTGCCTGAGAGACATGGAGAAAAAGGGAGTTGTGTTGCAAAACACACACAAAACAAAAACAATGGCTGTATAGAACTAGAAATGGAAACTATATCCATAGAGCAAGACTAGGATAATCTCAAGGAGATCTGAAACTGAGAGTACTGAAGAACTGAGTGACTCCACCTCCTCCTACAGGTGCTCACACAGCTGTAGCATCCTGGGCTTCACTGCCCCATCCTCTCCTCCTTCCCAGGGAAAGAGGTAGGGCAGGGAATCCAGGGCACCTATGCAACACCTATGGGCCCAATCCACCAAACCATGCTGAAACATCAAAGTGCAGATTGTGCCCATTTCTATTGAAGAATGATTGAGAACAACATCAGTGATGTAAAGCAAATTAAAAATGCAGAGCAAGCCATGAACATACATTTGCTGCTTACGATAAGTCGACACTGGCTGAAATCTTGTCGCTTAAAGTAGTAAGTTGCACTAGAGCAGGCCCATTGAATCAGTGGAAATTTGATGAGTCAACTGCTCTGTAAGTTCCACTGAATCAAATGGGCCTACTTCAGTTGTATCTGTTACATATATTCAGTTACATCTCAGAGGACCTCTCATGGACCCTTACTGCACTGAAGTAAGTCATAATTAGAATAGGCCCATTTGATTCAATGAAACCAACAGAGGAGTTGACTTACCAAATCCCAACTGATTCAATGGGCCTACTCTAGTGAAACTTACCATACTAAGCAAAGGATTTCAGCCACAAAAGTCTAACTCATGTACACCAAGAAGGAAATCAAGTTTTTTTTCTTGACTATGAATAATCATTTACCTTCTGAGCACAAATGACCACTAACCTTTTAACATATGGCATACTTACTATAAACAATTTTAATATTTAACCAAGGCATTGGCACCTTGATTAATAACCTGGTAATTGCAAGCTCAAATATTACTGTTTTCCCAGAACCAGTTGGTGCACAGATCACAAAATTTCTGTCTGTATAAAGGAGCTGGAAAAGAACAACAAATTGTAAATGTAGCTCAAGAGTCAGATGTATCTATCTTGATTAATGTGCTTGCCAAAATGTAGCCACAGTAATTTATTGTTTATATACATCCACATACAGTACTACCAATTCATAGTTAACACAGTCCTGCTCATTTTTTAAAACTGCACTCCTATGGATCAATGTGAAAGTTTTACTTTGCACAAGGGCAAAAAAGGTAAAACTGAAGCATAACTTTTCCTTGCTATCTGCTACTAGGCAATTACATAGAACACATGGGACAGGTAACACCATTATGTAGCAAAGCTTGTAGACACATTGCTAATAAAAAAACAAAAAGTGAAAAATACACATAGAAGACGATAGCACTGTCAGTAGCCTACCACTAAAAATACATAGTGAGGTTTGTTGTCCTGTAACATTTTTAAATTAAATTCTAAATTTTATCCATATATTATAAGCTAAGTTTGGTAGCAATGTCTTAGGTTTCACACATTAACATTACTTTCATTACTTTCATGTTCCACAGAAGAAAAATCAAACTTGGGGCTTGGTGACACAGCTAATTTACATGGATTCCAGTCCTGACTTTTTAAAATCGCTGTAAAGTTACATGGTATGTAATCTGGTAGGTACTTTCACACTGCTTAAATTGCTTCAACTCATTTTTGCTCTGTTTACAGAGCAATCTTTTGGTTTAATTTTTGTAAGTTAGCAAGTAAGACATCACTAAACTGAGTGTCTTCCAGTGATGCTTCTGGCACAATGCACTTGTTCTGTGGGTGCGGAGCATGCACAAAGTGTCTCCAGTGTCCTGGCATGTTAGTTTTCAGAGAATTAGATGCCACAGCTTGCTTCTACTCCTCTTTAACATGAAAATAATTCAGTGCTAACACATTAAATCTGATTTCCAACTCCTATCAGCATGGCTAATGATCTGGGATTTTGAAAGTTATAATCCAACAAGATCTGATAGGCCACAGGTACCGCAAACCTGGTTTAAAGTAATCCTATGCTAATTAATTATAGACTTGTTATATTAATTAGAAGACTACAGAAATTAGAAGACTACAGAAAATATTCCAGTGAGTTAATCTAGTCATAACACTTTGAACAAACAGCAGTTTATAATAGTTTTTGGTGCAATGTTTCACACACTTTCCTTATGCAAAATGATTCAGAAATGGCTCTCAATTGTGTTCAGCAAAGCTTATTCACAGGTAACTTTGGATAGCCTTGCAGTCATGAATTCATATTAATTTTTTCTAGAATATTTAGTGAAACAAACTCCTAATCCCATATTCCTTCATTCTGTAACCTCCAGCAAGCAGCAAGAACTGGAGATTTCTTCAGACTATAGCAGACGGCTATCTGGTGCTGAAGTCCATTTAGCATGGCTTTGTAGACTGATTTGTGGGAATGAGACATCAATGGGCTAATTTAATGAAAGTGGCAACAAAATACTACTGCTTTATATGTTACCTTAAATGTAAAAATAAAAATTTAAAACCAGAATGCTGAAATCAAGCCATACTTACATCATTCAGAGCCTTGGACTGAATATAATTAAAATAAGGGAACTCCTTGAAAATACTTCTAAACTGGGTAGCTTAAAGTCATATTAAGGAGTTGAAATTTTTCTTTTGAAATGGCTTTAACTCTTATATTCAAACACCTATCTGGAATCTAGATTCTAGATTTAACCAATAATCCTCTTCTTTGATACATTTGTCTGAAAACTAACTGAATGAAGAGTTTGTAGCTTGTGGACATGTACAGGAATATATTCAAATATTGGAAGCTGTAAAAAAAAGCCAAAACACAAACACACACACACACAAATTTTTCTCTCTGTCATATAGATTGAGTTACTAGAGTATGGTTTTAGTGGCTACCTACAAAGGAGAAAACAGACATCTTGGGGAAACAGAAATAAAGCAATAAAACAAATAAAACTATATGCAAAAATACTGATTAATATATCAAATATTAATCAATATTTGGGCAGAGGAATCTAATAATTTTCCTTTGTTGATAGCCACTAAAGCCATACTTTAGTAATCCAATCTATATGGAAGAAATAGGGGGGAAATTGTGGATATAATTCTAATTTGGGAAGGGTGTCATGGCTGCTTTCTAGCAGCAACCAGGGTTAAGGAGATAGTGCAAAACCAAAGAAAGGTTGATAGACCCAGGTCTTACTAATCTGGACATTTTTTCCACCAGACATGGAAAGCCCACTTCAATTTTATGGATGCCTCCTGAGAAGTAAGCCCTAATCAATACACACAATCAAATCAATACAGTACACAGCCTCCAAGGCTGCAAACCTCAGTAATGGCTTCATGCAACATCACCACAGAATGTGAAGCAGAGTTTCTGTTCCACGCAAAACATTTAAGTCTGTAAAATATTCTGTGCAAATCCTTCCATGTTGCAAACTCTGATCTCCCTGCAAAATCTTAACAGGTATTAGAAGTCATTTTAGCTCTTATCATCAGGACAGAAGAAACTTACAGGTCTGATAGAAAACTTCGATAATATGGCTACAGGCCAGAGGTTCCCCATCACTGCCATTACAGAATATGGATGTGCTCACCTTTCATCCTCTGGATCACAGATATATATAGAAATGCATTTGTTCCATTTGCTCTCCTATTATAGGAATTCTACAGCCACATGATTAATTTGTCAATTTTAAAAGCATATTGAAAAGCATTACAGCTTACAATTATATATTAGCAATATATATACAGTATATATAGGCACATGAAAGGATACGGATTTCAGTCACAGGCCTTAAAACCTTCAAGTCTTTTTCAGTTGTTCCTATCAAATGAATGAATGTTTGCTTTGTCTACCACTCATTAACAGTATTAATAAAAATACATATTCAAAGATAATGGTTTGGATTCATATTTAACCAAGCCTCCTTGAGTTCCATTATTTGGAAAAGGGTGGCATATAGAAATAAATCAGTAAAATGCTTACACTGGACCTGCTAAAATCAACGAGACAAGTTAGTAATGACTAAAATAAGCACCTTACATTTAATGACTTTAGACTGTAACATGGCTAACTATAGATGCAAGCCAGTATCTTTACAGCTATGAAAGAGGCAACAGATTTGGGTAACCAATACTGATTTCTGTAAAACTATCTTTTGCATTATAGATCTTGGGAGCCAACGGATATGCTAAGGACCGGATATAAAATTACCAGTCAAGATGTTATTCTCATACTGCAGGTAGATAAATCATTTCACATGAGAACTGGAGTGGAAGACTTATCTTAAGGTGCGATCTGATGGGGAAATAGCTCACATTTTAGACCACTTGTGGCACAGTCTTCTGCGAGCTACTTCCCAGAAGTCACATGATACATAGGTAATTACAGACCAGTCCAATCCTTGTCCATGCCCAAGCTGGGCTTTTTTGGGGGCCAGGCTGGAGCAATGCCTGCATGGTCAGAAGGATTGCTCCCAGCAAAGCAACACTTTATGGAGCATCAGATGCAGTCCCTTCTTGCTCTCTACTCATACCCTTAGTAGAAAAATGTCCTGAATCAATTTGAAGACTCTAAATTAAAATGTCTGCATGTTGTTTTTTACAATGGCCAGTCTATGCACCTTACAGTAAACATATCCACAAGATATGCAATGGAGGAAGGAAAGTCATGAACCACATTCATGCCAATACATAGGAAATCTGTGGCAGAGAACAGAATAAAACCCAGTTAATTGCTTCTGGAAAAATTCCATGCCAATCTATCTCACAGGAAAGAGCTTATTCCATCACAGAAAGGTGTGCTAGTTCTGTCCTGTGGCTCCTCCTTTGCAAACTGCATCTCACCTTCAAACTGCATAGCCAACTAGAATGCTTTTCCCCCCAGAAAGGATATTAAATAAATAAATACATAAATAAAGAGCTCTGTTTACTAACAGAATGGAAATCTGATGGAAGAATTGCTTTTGAAATGCTGGATTTTTATTTTCTGCAATTTAGCTGGATTTAATTTGATAGAGGAAGTAAAGGAAAGAGGGATGATGTGATGAGACAATGCATAGTTTTCTTTTCATCAATTTCCCTGGCTGACCTCCAAACAGCAGAGCGTTAAGCTCTCCGAGATATGCATTTAATTCCACCCAATTATAATTACTTCAGTCTTCTTTGGCTTAGGTGTACCTTTCTGTAATTCACATCTCTCTTTTTTCTAATTTGCCTCTGACCTTCTACATGAATACTACTGTTCTTCTTACTTTATATTACTTGAGCAGATTTAACTGTTGTGTATTTCTTGACTCCATCGACAGTTCTGTTCATGAATATACATTATTCATAGTTATGGCATGAAGCCTATGTTGTAAATACCTTTTGTAGGGAAAAATTACAAAGAAAATGTGTAATTTACCTTCTGCACAAGAAGTCTTTGAAACACAAGGAAATGAGAATGCGTTTTCAATTCCATTTGCAGAAGCAGAAATAACATCATTTACACTAAGCAGATTAAAATCTGAATATTGAGCTATCTGCATATTATTTCTCCACTGGCCTTCTACGTTCATCTTTTTGTTGTTAGTTACATCACATGTGTCAATTCCTCTCTTGGTATTGGCACTCTCCATGTTGCCTGTATTTCCATATGTATACTTAGCTGGTTTAAATAAACTGTAAGAAAGGAAAAGCATATTTTCATATTATATGAAAAAATACACTGCTTCTCCGAAAATAAGAGAGGGTCTTATATTAATTTTTGCTTCAAAAACACATTAGGGATTATTTTCAGGGGATGTTTTATTTTACAGTCATGTCATCTTTTTCTGGTTGCTACACAATGGTGGAGGGCGGGGTTTCACTTAACTAGGGCTTATTTTCGGGGTAGGGCTTATATAACAAGCATCCTGAAAAATTCTACTAGGACTTATTTTCAGGTTAGATCTTATTTTCCTGGAAACAGGGTATATTATATGAAATGATTGTAATGTAGTCGAAATCTTGTTGCATAGTACTCCCAGCACACCTGGAAATACATTTATTGGCAGCATCACATTGTTGCTGATTAAAGGCTGCCGTTCGTGATTTCAGAGCGCACACACTTTATACGCAGTGCAATTAAATTGCGTGCACTCTGAAATTCCAGAAGGAAGCCTTTAATTAGCAACAATCTGACACTGACAGTGATGTCATTCCCATAGTGCAAGCAGACACCAATCAACAAGACTCAACAGGAAGTAAGTATGTAGATGTATACAACAACAATAATAACAATAATAATAATATGCTGTCAAATCAATTCCAACTTATAATTACCCTTTCCAGGGTTTTCCATGTATAGGGTAGTTAGAAGTGGTTCACCATTCCTTTTCTTCTGGGGTGCCCTGGGCCTATGTATGTAGGCATCCTTCAGTCTCAAGAGACTATGGCAACGTGCTCTGAATAGAGGTCTTGGAACAGTGTCTAGTGTGGCTGAGCAGGCCAAAACAACAGTGATAATCCCTTCCACGATGAAGACAAATACAATCTGTCCCCTGTCCAGCTCTCTGATTTTGCTGGTTTTGGGACTGCCTCTTTGCCTCGGCCTGCTGGACAAGTGTTTCTTCAAATTGGGAGAGGCCATGCTGCACCGCCTGTCTCCAGGCTGAACGCTCAGATGTCAAGGGTTCCCATCTGTTGAGGTCCATGTACAGTGGTGCCTTGCTTGATGAGGATAATTCACTCAGTTCAAATCCCTGATAAGTGAAATCCTCGTCAAGTGAAATGAAAAAGCCCATTGAAATGCACTGAAAACCAGTTCAATGCATACCAATGGGCTAAATACCTCATCGTAAAGCGAAGATCCTCCATAGGGCGGCCATTTTCCAGTGCCTGTATAGCGAGGAATCCGTCCTAAAGCACAGCGGGGAGCCATTTTGCACACCGGGTGGCCATTTTAGAGCCGCCGATCAGCTGTTTTAAAATTGTTGTCTAGCAAAAAATCAGTTCCCGAAGCAGGGAACCGATCATCGTGAGCAAATTTTTCCTATTAGAACATCATTTGCGATCGCAAAAGTGATCACAAAAAGCTCATCAAGCAGTTTCATCGTTTAATGAGGTAATCGTTAAGCGAGGCACCACTGTATCTTGCAAAAAGCTACACGGGCTAGCTCTTCTTCCAAGAGGCATGATGGGAATTCGGACTGCCATCACACATGCAAATTATGTGGTAATGATATATCACTGCTTACACTACTTTGTTTCTAACACCTGACAAAAACCACTTAACATCTATGGGTTTCCATAACTTTTCCCCAACCAAACTAAATTGATCAGTCTACCAGTTGCTTCTCTCTCTCTCTCTCTCTCTCTCTCTCTCTCTCTCTCTCTCTCTCTGATTATCACTCTTCTTTTGGCCTTCTCACCCACACTAGACAGTGTTCCAATTTCCCTCCCCCCCCTCACACACACACAAACAGACACACACACACACACAGAGAGAGAGAGAGAGAGAGAGAGAGAGAACGAGAATGAGAACAAAACAAGAGATTAATTCAGCCCTGGATGGGACAACATGAAAGGCTAATTGGACACATTTAGTTTAACACAGTAGTGCCTCTACTTATGAACGCCCCTACATACGGACATTTCGACTTACTAACAGTTCCGTTTGCAAAATTTTGCTTCCACTTACGAACACAAAAAGGCAGGAGAAAAGGGCGGGAAATTCAAATTGCTAACTGTAGGTGGCCACAAGACTGCTTTTTTGTAGCTTTTTCAGCCGGGTAGTTAGCAAGTATGCGATCCGAGGAGGCTGCCTGCTAAGGTAAGGTGCTGCTTTATACTTTTAAAAAACTGTTCTGGGTATTTTTGGAGTGTGGTTTTTGGCTAGGGGGGTTATGTTTCTGTGCTGTGATGGGTGTTGGGGGGTTGTTTGGTTTTTGGCTTCCCCCATTTCTGATGGGGGATTGTTTGCTTTTTGGAGTTTCCCCCATTTCTGATGGGTCTTGGGGGTTTGGTTGCTTTTCAGAGGGGTTCCTCATTTTCGATGTGTCTTGCATGCTTTTTGCTTTGTTCTCTTTGCATTTCTGACCTGCTGCATTTGTTTTTGCAATAATTCCTGCATGCTTCCCTTGCTTGTCCCTTTGTTCTCTGTGCATTTCTGATCTGCTCCATTTGTTTTCTGTGCATTTGCAATGGTTCCTCCATGCTTTCCTTGCAGCTTGGATTTGGGCTGGGGGGTTATGTTTCTGTGCTCTGATGGCTCTTGCAGACCCTTTCTGCAAGGGTCTGTGCTGGTTGGTTTGCTCTAAAATGGAGTTTAGACTCAAGTCTCTCTCCCCTCCCCCATTGTCTTCTCTCTCTCTCTCTCTCTCTCTCTCTCTCTCTCTTTCTGCTCCCCAGGTGCTTGGTTTAGTTTAAAATTTGTTTTGTTTAAAAGGTGCTTGGTTTGGTTTAAAATTTGTTTTGTTTAAAAGGTGCTTGGTTTGGTTTAAAATTTGTTTTGTTTAAAAGGTGCTTGGTTTGGTTTAAAATTTGTTTTGTTTAAAAGGTGCTTGGTTTGGTTTAAAATTTGTTTTGTTTAAAAGGTGCTTGGTTTGGTTTAAAATTTGTTTTGTTTAAAAGGTGCTTGGTTTGGTTTAAAATTTGTTTTGTTTAAAAGGTGCTTGGTTTGGTTTAAAATTTGTTTTGTTTAAAAGGTGCTTGGTTTGGTTTAAAATTTGTTTTGTTTAAAAGGTGCTTGGTTTGGTTTAAAATTTGTTTTGTTTAAAAGGTGCTTGGTTTGGTTTAAAATTTGTTTTGTTTAAAAGGTGCTTGGTTTGGTTTAAAATTTGTTTTGTTTAAAAGGTGCTTGGTTTGGTTTAAAATTTGTTTTGTTTAAAAGGTGCTTGGTTTGGTTTAAAATTTGTTTTGTTTAAAAGGTGCTTGGTTTGGTTTAAAATTTGTTTTGTTTAAAAGGTGCTTGGTTTGGTTTAAAATTTGTTTTGTTTAAAAGGTGCTTGGTTTGGTTTAAAATTTGTTTTGTTTAAAAGGTGCTTGGTTTGGTTTAAAATTTGTTTTGTTTAAAAGGTGCTTGGTTTGGTTTAAAATTTGTTTTGTTTAAAAGGTGCTTGGTTTGGTTTAAAATTTGTTTTGTTTAAAAGGTGCTTGGTTTGGTTTAAAATTTGTTTTGTTTAAAAGGTGCTTGGTTTGGTTTAAAATTTGTTTTGTTTAAAAGGTGCTTGGTTTGGTTTAAAATTTGTTTTGTTTAAAAGGTGCTTAGTTTGGTTTAAAAGGTGTTTGGTTTAAAATGTGTTGGTGTAAAATTGTTCCCCATTGTGCCCTCCCTCCTTTCCTGCTCTTTTTTTAACCTACATCATCTTAGGTTAAAAAAAAAATCTTCCCCTAGTGGTAGAGGACGGATTAATCAGTTTTGCATTAGTTCCTATGGGAACTAATGCTTTGACTTACAAACGGCGCCTTTACATACAAACAAAAAACAGCTCAAATGGATTAATCAGGTTTCAATCCATTCCTATGGGAAATGCTGATTCAACTTATGAACGTTTTGACTTAAGAACATCTTCTGGGACAGATTAAGTTCACAAGTAGTGGCACCGCTATAAGTGGTACATATCTGGGTCTAGAACTACAAGACAATTATTGTATTCCAGGGGTGAAAACAGCTAAATATAGATTTTAAAAAACAAGGAAGAGAAGAAAAACATATGACAGGAAAAACCAAAGATCTGTTCAAGAAAATTGGAGATGTTAAAGGAACCTTTTGTGCAAAGATGGACATGATAAAGGACAAAAATGGTAGGGACTTCACAGAAGCAGAAGACATCAAGAAGAGGTGGCAAGAATAACCCAGATAGTGTGGTTGCTGACCTTGAGCTAGACATCATGGAGAGTGAAGTCAAGTGGGCCTTAGAAAGCTTGGCTAACAACAAGGCCAGTAGAGGTGATGGTATTCCAGTGGAACTACTTAAAATCTTAAAAGATGACGCTGTTAAAGTGCTACATTCAATATGCCAGCAAGTCTGGAAAACTCAACAGTGGCCAGAGGACTGGAAAAGAACAGTCCACGTCCCAATCCCAAAGAAGGGCAGCGCCAAAGAATGCTCCAACTACCGTTCAATTGCACTCATTTTCCACGCTAGCAAGGTTATGCTCAAAATCCTCCAAGGTAGGCTACAGCAGTATGTGGACCGAGAACTCCCAGAAGTACAAGCTGGATTCCGAAGAGGCAGAGGAACTAGAGACCAAATTGCTAACATGCGCTGAACTATGGAGAAAGCCAGAGAGTTCCAAAAAAACATCTACTTATGCTTCATTGACTATGCAAAAGCCTTTGACTGTGTGGACCACAGCAAACTGTGGCAGGTCCTTAAAGAAATGGGAGTGCCTGAACACCTTATCTACCTCCTGAGAAACCTATACATGGGACAGGAAGCAACAGTTAGAACTGTATATGGAACAACTGATTGGTTCAAAATTGGGAAAGGAGTACGACAAGGCTTTATATTGTCCCCCTGCTCTGGTCCATGGGGTCATGAAGAGTTGGACATGACTTAATGACTAAACAACAACAACAATTTTATATTTCACTTGTGTTCACTTCTGTTCACACTGATCGACATTTTTCCTCCCACAAGAAAGGTCAAGACAGGTCTCTGGATCACCCCAACTTGTTCCCTTTTCAATTAATGACACTCCCTTTCCTGGCACCTTCCCCAGCACCATCATTCAGCGGGCCATGCCAACTTTCTTTTCTTTTTTAAAGTAAAATGACACAGCAAAAGAGTGATACATCTACCTAGAATGGTACATATAATACCACCAATGTATCTCATTTATTTAGAATATATTTTAAAAAATTTAAATAGTAGAGTAAATGAAAGTAGACCAGGCGTGGTGGTTCTCCATCATCCCTTTCAAGTGCCACAACCCACCAAATACATCACAGGGTTATAACTTCAGATAAGACTGCCCACAGCTATATTTTGCTGCAGACTAACCATCCACATGGGCTACAGAACAGGCTGATTAGGAGTGCTCCAAATCACACTCACAAACACACACACACACACACAAACCCCTGTAAGCCCTACCACTGTATCAGAAAGGAGTGGGATGGATTGCTCTAAGTCAAAACACACATGAATGCTCTAAACCAAACAGCACTAAAAGCAATCCAAATAGTGAGCTATTATGCCAGGGCAGACATGTCCTAAGTTTAAAACTTACTCTCCTACCACAAATGGAGTGATCACTTGCTAATCTATAATCAAAATATAATTTAGATGTATCTTCATTATCAGAAAATGGAATTAGTTACAAGTAACCAGTAGAATCAACTACAAATGACTGTCATAACTAGTTCAGAAGCTAACATTTTCTTTACATGAAGGCAAATTGAAAGTCAGTTAGATGCTATCAGTTAGCTCCTACACATCCCAGATAATTATATATATATATATTGAAATAGCTGTATAGACATTTGGACTAGACTGAGCATCAGTGCTCATTATCGTCTAGTTGGCTTTCAGATCCACTCTACATAGCTTAACATCATGTGTTGACTTCCAAGAAAATTCCTGAAATGTACAGTGCTAGTATGCAATAGCACACTGGTTAAGACTGAAATTCATTTTCATTAAAGAAGTAAAAATGTTGTTTTTGGTTTAAAGCAGCTGGATTGCATACATGTGTTGTGTGACAATTTAATTGAATAAATTAATTTATCTGGAAGATGCCACAGGACTATGTCATTGTGTGGGATTTTAAGAGTGCATATGGTAAAAAGTCACCTCTTAACTAAAGTAATAAACTAAATCCTGTGTTTAAATTCTTGTTTAAAAAAGGGTTGTGCCTAGAGCAAATCTAATTACTGTATTAAAACATTGCCGAGAGGAAATATCCCAGTTTTTCTTACATTCAAAAGAATATTAACGCAACTGCCGGGAGCCCTATTAAGCACTTTCATTTCAGAGATCAAAAACTCAGTCTTTGACAAATGTATCTAAAATAATATCGTTCTGATATTTTGATGAATTATTATAATTGGTAAAAAAAATCTTACCTTTTCCTGAATTTTGAGCAGGCGCTTTCATCACCATCTTCTCCTGGAAAATTAATTAATACTTTGTCTTCTGATGGGTTTCTACAAGGCAGTTGACAAGTTCTGCCGTCATATTAATCAAGGTCATGGAGCAACAATAGAAGTGATTCCAGGCAGCTGGCCTGAAAATTATTTTTATTTACCTGCCCGAATTGAACTCAAAATAGGCTTTGATTGTTAGAATTCATAGCAAAATACATGGGTTTATATGTATTTAGAATGTTATCCTTTAGTAATGCTTTTAAAGGATGACATGTCAATTCTCTTTGTGTGTGCTCTTTACAAAAACAAGAAAAAGATGGTGCCTTCCAATGATCCATCAATTCAATAAAAGTTGTATAAAGGAAAATAAACTTCGTCATATTGTTCTAATTGTTTTCTTGTGTCTTCCAAGCCTGCTGCTGATGCCATCCATAAATATATCTCATTTGCTTTTGAGTCTCACTGCCTTATCATTGACAGAGGAGGAATCTTCTATATGTATTGAGTAACATGTCCCTGGACAGTTCTTGAACCTCAGGTGTCCTATAATAAATATTTTATTTACTGTGGACAACTGATTCCTTTCTTTTACAACATGCATATCTATCCAAAGAACTATCCAAAGAAACTGCACCAGAGCACAGACAGAGTTCCGACTCCTGTCCTCTGAAGATGCTGGCCACAGAGACTGGCGAAACATTAGGAAGAACAACCTTCAGAACACGTCCGAAGAGCCCCAAAAAACCACAACAACCATCAGATCCCAGCTGAGAAAGCCTTCGAAAATAATTATGAAATATTCTACCTTTTTTGTGATTTTCCCCCAATTCCATTTGTAGTTCTTGTGTAGGTGAAATCTCGAACGCAGATGGAACAGGTGCAAGATACCAGTTTGTTGGCTCTTCATTTGCCAGATATCTGTTTCCAGTATATTAACATGAAACAAGAAACATCAAGTGCTTCCAACCAAATTAATGACAAACCACAAGAGAACATATTGACACTGTGTCACTTCTAAATTATCCCTCTTAACATTACACTTTAAAAATGTGTTACATTCAAAATGCAAGGCTTCTGTTAACCCAGTTTGATTAAATTTGAATCTGGCATGCAGTGGGATAATACCACTGTACCACTATAACTGCTAATACTCCGAAATGCTCTCCTCTGCACAATTAACATTGTACGAATTTCTGGTGGTTACACACACACGCTTTCAAGAAAAAAAAACAAAGAAAATAATAAATTGTGTAATACACCCATTAACAAATTAAGAAATTACCATTGACCCAAATATCTGGGTTTGTGCCACTCTATTCAATGGAATGTGAAGAATAAAAATTAGAGATATCAATTATTTCTAAAATGACTATTCTAAGATACAGACACTCTGTTATTGAAACTATGTAACGGTAAAAATCATTTTTTCTTTACTAAAAACATGTATTCATTATAAAACAAAAAACACAAACCCCCTCAAAAATAAGTATTGTTCACCAAACCACTGGTCCAACTTACTTTTGTGTTCCATCGGGCCCTTCAAAAAATAAATTATCCAGAGAAAATGCAGGGTCTGCCATTGCATCAAAATGAGGTATTAAGCTGTAAAAAGTCCATGAAATTCCACAGTATTTAATTGTTATTATATTTATATTCTATCTTTTCTCTAAGGAACAGAGGTGAGCGTATACTGCCTTTCCACCTCACTTTACCCCCACAGTAATATCTCCTCTCTGAGGTAAATTAGCCTGAGAGCAGGTGGCAGAGACAGGTCACACAGAGAACATCGTGGTCAAATTGGTACTAGGACCTGTGGTTTTTCTCAGTCCCACATCCTCTAATAATTCCACATCGTACATAAGCACTATCCTCACAAAAGAACGGAAGCCCTTTAAAATGAAAAAGTAATCAGGATAACAGGAAAGCTGAATGTAGTTTTCCCTGCATGTATTTTCTTACTTAAATTTCACTACCATAGAAAGAAGCTTGAAGTTATTCCTGCAAGATTGCCCTAGTTACTTTCCTCCTCAGAGTCAGAGGAGAGCTGTGCCCAGCAGCCATTTTGGAATCAGTATCAAATATGAACAAGTATATACGTTTGCTCGATTTTATGAACTTCCAGGGGAAAGTGGCAGCCCTTTCCTTTAGCACCTAAATCTTTGTGGTACATAACAATGTGCTACATCATATATTCAAAATAAAAGGAGCCTTAAATGAGCTTAGCTAGAAGGACTGTTCTACGGCGTGCTTTTCTAAGATACCTGTGGTTGATTCCCGGTTTTGGAGCAATTCACCTTCCAACCCCCCAACCTCCCCACTTAAAAAAAATGAAATCAAATGTTTTCTCAATACATTTTCCTGGCCTCTGTTGGCAATCTGAGATGGCAAAAGCTGAGGCGATAGGCCAGGCCAGCACTTTGAAATCCTGAAACAAATCATCTTTTTAAATTCGCGTTTCCTTTCAAAGCAAAATAGATCCTAACCCTCTACAAATGGATTAGTTGTTGCCCACAAGATAAAGATATGCTCTGTTACCACTAAAGTTAACTGAAGGGAACAATGACCTATTTTAAAGAACTTTCGAAAGGAAGGAAAGGAAGTGATCCCATCTACAATGACAGAGCATTGGGAAGGAATTCTGGGAGGTGTAGTTCCTTTTTGAGAGCTGGGTATCTTACTGAAGAAATACTGAGGAGAGGAATGTTTGCCTTGTTCTTATTTGTGACTTGCTCCTGGAATTTATTTTATTTTCTGTGTCAATGTGTAGTAAATAGCTTCAAAGTTATTGCTGACTCCTTAGCTATTCAAAATGGGAAGAGTAAAATGGAAAGGGGACATGGAGGGCACAATTTGAACAGCTTTTGAATGCACACTTGAGAAGGACAGCAAGAAATAATCTGTTTTGCTGGGAAATATCCTCTGACTGGTGCATCAAATTTAAAATTGTATCCTTTGGACATAAGAAAAGGCTCTGTTTACTAGTCTGCTGAAGCATTTCTGATAGTGAAACATCGAACTACAGGTGGTGATTGAACTTAACATAGAATAAATTCTTTAAAAATTGATTCCAAATTTAGTCAGAGCCATAGTCATGATGTTAAGGGATGATCCATACCTCATCCCTGCATCATACTCTTACAATTATGTTGCATGTATGCTTCCATCTGGGCTGGCCAAAGACATTTTGCTGCCTGGGACAGAGTAGAAAACAATTCTTCTTACCCACCCACCTAATATAAGTTCCAACTCTACCTGAAGCCAGACAAGTTATTTTGCACAGTAGGCAGAAAATCCCCCAACCACTTCTTCCCACTTCTAGTAGTAAACAGACAACCAAAAGTAACCAAACAACAAATATTTTGTCATTCTTTCATAACAGCCCAAATCTGATGCCCAAGGAGACCAATTTTGCAATATTACCAATTTTGTACCAATTGACTTTCATCTGTTAAGTATTTCACATGTGACAGCGAAACCTGAGATAGTCATTTACTGTCACAATAAATAAGACCTGTTCAGGAACCTACAATCTTATTTCAGAAACACTGTTCGCCATGCCATCCACCCTCACCCCCAATGTCATCTGTTCCAGCTTCCTGCTTTGGTTGTTTGCACTGCCCATGTGGCGTCCATGGGCTGGGGCAGACCATAATACACAACACTGGGTCTGGTAAGCCCCAGTGGCTCCATTCATATATTCATCCAAGGCTTAATTGATACTTCTAAAGAGGACCAAATTGACAAGAATCAAACATTTCAAAACCAGCTTCCACAGAGAGTGAAGTGGAGAAAGCTGACTGGGATGAGGCTCCATAAAATATAGTCGTACCCATGTGATCACAATGGGTTCTGGCCATTTCATCTTTCCCTATGTTTAGTGGACTGAATATTGTATCAATTTACATGAAGCTGTAAATCAGTAGTTCCCAAATTTGGGCCCCCCAAATGTTCCTGGACTCCAATTCTCAAAATTCCTAACCATGGGCTGTGCTGGCTAGAGGTTTTGAGAGGTTTGGTTACAGCAGCTCTACTGGCTGCTGATCAAGTTACCAGGCTCAATTCAAAGTGCTGGCTTTAACCTATAAAGCCCTAAATGGCCTGGGTCCAAGCTATCTCAAAGACTATCTCCCAATATTAGCTAGCTCAGATGTTAAGATAATCAGGAGAGGCCTTTCTCTCAATCCCACCACCTTCACAGTCGCATCTGACGGGGTCACAGAAGAGAGCCTTCTCTGTGGTTGCTGCCAGACTTTGGAACTCCCACCCACAGGAGGCGAGACTGGCCCCTTCTTTGATGTCTTTCCACAAGCAGACAAAGACCTTGCTCTTCAGGCAAGCCTTCCCTCAGTAATCTAGCTACCTGTATGTGATTTTTAGAAGGACTGTGTTTTCCATTTTTGGGTTTTCCGCCTCTCAGAGTTACATTTTTTTTTCTTTTTAATATCTGCTTACATATTGTTCCTAGCTTTAACTATTGCCTTTAAATGATGTAATATGCCTCCTTATATTCATTGTTCTTAGGTTTAAATATTGTTTTTCAATGTTGTATGCCACCCTAGGTCCTTTCAAAGAAGAAAGGTGGGTAAAAATATTTTAAATGAATAAAATAAATAGTTTAAAAAATCTGAGGTCCTAAGTATGGGAATCACATCTCTAGTTAAAAAGAGGTCCTAAGTATGGGAATCACATCTCTAAATCAATTGTTCCAAACCTGGGCTAACCCCCTTCAGCACAGCTGATGGTGAAGGCTTCTGGGAATTGCAGTCCACAAAAACTGGGTTGCCCAAGGTTGGGAACCATTGCTCTAAATTATCCTCTTCTAGTTGCCACAAATCATTTTTTGAGTAATCACTGGGTTGACCAAGGTTGGGAACCATTGCTCTAAAATTATCCTCTTCCAGTTGCCACAAATCATTTTTTGAGTAATCACTGTTCCCAATAGTGTGAGACTCCCCATCCCACCCCAGATCCCTCCTGGACCTACATGGGCAACCCACTAATTAGCTCAATCAGATAGA